TTCTTTCTTTCTTTCTTTCTTTCTTTCTTTCTTTCTTTCTTTCTTTCTTTCTTTCTTTCTTTCTTCCTTCCTTCCTTCCTTCCTTCCTTCCTTCCTTCCTTCCTTTCTTTCACTCTTCTTCCTTCCATCCCTCCTTGTACTCCTGGTTTCACTCTTTTTTCTGATCTTTTCTTTTTCTATTATTTTCTGTTTCAAATTTTATTTTTGTAGAAATTTAATAAAGTCTTATAAAGACAGATTTCAACAGAAGAGAATATAGAGTATAGTTGACTGATGGATTTCTTGGTGCTCTCCGAGGCTGGTTGTTTGCAAGCAGATATTTCATTATTTAACTAGGTAATTAGTTATTCCTGCTCATGAGTATGGAGTTTGCTCCTTGGTTATATACAGTAGCTCATCCTGTCAGTCAACAGTGGGTGTGGGTTTTCTTCTTAATTATTTATCTGGTGTTAATTGCTATTTATCTTAGAGCAAGTTAAATGCAAAACTGCTGGGAACTCCTGGAGTTTGCTGGAGAATTCAGATAAGTCAGCCATCAATAGATGCATAGAGATAAATTACACTGCTCAAAAAAATAAAGGGAACACTTAAACAACACAATGTAACTCCAAGTCAATCACACTTCTGAGAAATCAAACTGTCCACTTAGGCAGCAACACTGATTGACAATCAATTACACATGCTGTTGTGCAAATGGAATAGACAACAGGTGGAAAGCATAGGCATTTAGCAAGACATCCCCAATAAAGGAGTGGTTCTGCAGATGGTGACCACAGACCACTTCTCAGTTCCTATGCTTTCTGGCTGATGGTTTGGTCACTTTTGAACGCTGACGGTGTTATCACTCTAGTAGTAGCATGAGACGGAGTCTACAACCCACACAAGTGGCTCAGATAGTGCAGCTCATCCAGGATGGCACATCAATGCAAGCTGGGGCAAGAAGGTTTGCTGTGTCGGTCAGCGTAGTGTCCAGAGCATGGAGGCGCTACCAGGAGACAGGCCAGTACATCAGGAGACATGGAGGAGGCCCTAGGAGGGCAACAACCCAGCATCAGGACTTCTACCTCTGCCTTTGTGCAAGGAAGGACAGGAGGAGCACTGCCAGAGCCTTGCAAAATGACCTCCAGCGGGCCACAAATGTGCATATGGCTGCTCAAACGGTCAGAAACAGACTCCATGAGGGTGGTATGAGGGCCCGACGTCCACAGGTGGGGGTTGGGCTTACAGCCCAACACCGTGCAGGACGTTTGGCATTTGCCAAAGAACACCAAGATTGGCAAATTCGCCACTGGCGCCCTGTGCTCTTCACAGATGAAAGCAGGTTCACACTGAGCACATGTGACAGATGTGACAGGGTCTGGAGACGCTGTGGAGAACGTTCTGCTGCCTGCATCATCCTCCAGCATGACCAGTTTGGCAGTGGGTCAGTAATGGTGTGGGGTGGCATTTCTCTAGGGGGGCGCACAGCCCTCCATGTGCTCGCCAGAGGTAGCCTGACTGCCATTAGGTACTGAGATGAGATCCTTAGACCCCTTGTGAGAATCATATGCTGGTGCGGTTGGCCCTGGGTTCCTCCTAATGCACAACAATGCTAGACCTCATGTGGCTGGAGTGTGTCAGCAGTTCCTGCAAGATGAAGGCACTGATGCTATGGACTGACCCGCCCGTTCCCCAGACCTGAATCCAATTGAGCACATCTGGGACATCATGTCTCGCTCCACCCACCAACACCACGTTGCACCACAGATTGTCCAGGAGTTGGGGGATACTTTAGTCCAGGTGTGGGAGGAGATCCCTCAGGAGACCATCCGTCACCTCATCAGGAGCATGCCCAGGTGTTGTAGGGAGGTCATACAGGCACATGGAGGCCACACACACTACTGAGCCTCATTTTTGTGTTCGTTTTATTTTTTGAGTAGTGTATATTTCCACACCATTTATAAGACACAATAAAAAAGGTGCAAAGGAAATGAAAAGACCAGAATATGCTCTCTCCAGCAGAAGTCAGAAAGCAATACCTTAATCAATGTACTATCAAGGAGAAAACCACACCCCCATTACTCTTGGCAGGCAAATTACTATACATAAACAGGGAGCAAACCTCACTATATATAAAAATGGAGGAAACTGATATAGTTGTGTGATCAAATATTTGCAAATCAAATATTTGGAAAGCCCCAAAGGACTCCATATACCCAAAGAAGCAGCAGTGGTAGGATTCAATTATTTTTACTACTGTGGGTGTGGCTTGGTGGGTGTGGCTTGGTGGGCATGGCAGGGAAAGGATAATGCAAAATCCCCACTCCTGGGGAAAGGTTACTGCAAAATTCCAATTACCCCACCACCCCACCAACCTGCATTCTGGCTCTGTTCTCCTGTGCAGAGCAACAAAAGAAGAACCAGCTGATCATCTGGGACTCGGGAGGCAGAGAAGAGATGGGGTGGGGCCAATCAGAGGTGGTGTTTGCCGGTTCTTCGAACCACTCAAAATTTCCGCTACCGGTTCTCCAAAACTGGTTAGAACCTGCTGAATACCACCTCTGAAAAGCAGGGATTAACACCAGGCAAACAAACAGAAAACAAGACCCTAATCAAGAAACTGCTGAGAAGAAAACCACACCTTTACTAACACTTGTCCCCTGTTGATATACAATATATACTATCATATATAAACAAGGAACAAATACCACCTTCCCTAGCACTGAAGAGGTAACCTAGTTGAGTAAATGAAACATCTACACATAAACAATCGAGTTGAAAGGACACCAAGGACTCTACAATTCAAGATACATCGAACCAAGGAAAGAGCTCTATGGCTGGGTTCACCCATTACATGAAGTGAAGTGTAGTGAAAATCTTTATAGTAGGGAAGCCATGTGTGAAAAAAGAAAGCCTGCCAGGCAAATTGCTAATTACTTTTGTCCTACTGCCAAGAAAAATGCCTGGCTGAAGGTGGCGGGGATTGAGTTTAACTTCAGGGTGTCTATCTCCTCTTGCGTAATGCACACATCTTTTCTGTCTCGTCAAAGAATACTTACGCCGGTCATATTCTTTTCACCACTTCCTGAAGAAACACTCCACCGCTTTTCTCTCTGCAAGAAAAGAGCCCAAATGAGTAGTGTCTTAACAATCTACTCCATTTCACTCCATCTCATGATGAGTTCAACCAAAGTCACACAAAGTTAGACATTTCTTGCTATTAAAGTATGATTCCCTTGTCATAAATAAATATAAACATACATATAATGTATATCTGTGGGTTCCAATCAGTTTGTTTTTGATCTACAGGTAGTCCTCAACTACTGGTAGGATCATAATTGAGCCCAAAATGTATGTAGTTACGTGAAAAATTTGCAGGGTTCAATCTGGGTCAATCATTGGGACCAAAGGTTTTGTCTTCTTGAACTTAATGAGCTTTGCCCTCTTTTATGACTTCTCTTGCTACATTTCTTAAGTGAATCACTATGTATCATAGTTGTTAAATTAGCAACACGGTTTTTAAGTGAATCTGGTTTCCCCGTTGACTTTGGTAGTCAGAAGGCCGCAAAAGGGGACATGACAACCGTCATGAATGTGAGTCAGTTGTTAAGCATCCAAATGTAAATCACGTGACCAAGAGAATGCAGCAACAGTCATCATTAAGTGTGAAAAAGAGTCATAAGCCATTATAACTTCAAACGGTCACTAAATGAACTGTTATAAGATGAGGACTACCTGTATTTATAATTTTTCCCAACTCATGTTGGCCATTCAAGTTTGTGATTTAAAAAAATAATAATTATATTTTAATGGTTTTGATATCCATTTCTCCTGAGACACCAGTGCTGTTATGCAGATCAGTGGTGTGTTTCAAGTATTTTTACCACTGGTTCAGTGGGCGTGGCTGGGTGGGCGCGCTTTGTGCACACGCACACACTTGGCATGCACGCGCCAAACACGCACTTTGTGCAGGCACAGAGGCTTTCTGACTCGCCTCCTGCGATCTTGCACTCTCCCTGTCGATTCAGCAGCTGCCACACGACACTCTTCTGTGCTGCACAAAGCAGCTGCCCTTCAAAAGCAGGGAATAAAAGTTAGTATGGGGGCCCAGGTGGGCAGGTGGGCTAAACAGAATGGTGGAGAGACCCGGTTCGGTCTCCGCTGCTCATCGGCGCTACCGGCTCCACAGAACCAGGCCAAGCCAGTAGAATCCCACCACTGATGCAGATTTATTCCTTTTTAAAAAACTGCATCACACAATCTAAAAAGAGTAAAAATACTGAAATTTTTCTGCTTAAACTTAGATAACTAAAAATTGAATAGACGAATCAGTTAAAAAGTGAATCCAGATTTCCTGCTTTATAGGAGGTAGTCCTTGACTTATGACCGGTGGCTTAGCTAATGTTTGAAGTTACAAAAGACCCCACAAAGGGTACTTACGATCCAGTTCCAATGGCTGCAATCCTTCCCTGTGGTCCTATGCCCACATTTTGGCTGCTTGGCAAATGGCCTGCATTTATGGCTGTCTGCAGTGTCCAGCGGTCATATGAAAACAATTTATGACATTTTTGCTAAAAACTGGGTTTTGGCAAAACTGGCCCATAGGGAACAACGTGTTTATTTAATGACCAGTGATTGGCTTAACAACCAATCTTGAAAAATGTCATAAAATTGGATCAGTCACATTATGACCATCATGATTTATGATCATAATGGGCAGGCTCTATCAAAGACTTCCTCTGTTATAATCAATTATAAATTCATTCTTAAAAGGTAAAGGTTCCACTTGCACGTTACATGCTAGTCGTTTCCAGCTCTAGGGGGTGGTGCTCATCTCCATTACAAATTCATTCTTTTTTCCACACTAAAGTGAGATTTTTTTAAAAAAACAAATGACATTAAAATCATTTGTTCGATTAATTAAAATTTAAACGCACACCTCTAAATGTTACATTATGCATTTAACAGTATTTTTTGGCATGTTTTTGAATCAACATCTGAATGGAAATTTTAAGAACTCTGATGAATGATTTAATCTTTGATCTACAATTCAGATCAGTTCCTTTTAGAATTTGCAAATGAATTATTTGAATCCTTGTGCAACAAACTGAACCTTCATGGTTCTTGATAGTTAATAATTGATCATCTTTCCTCTATATCAGTGACACACAGATTCATAGAACATAGAAGAACAGATTGGAAGGGACCATGGAGATCTTCTAGTCCAATCCTGTTTGAGTTGGAGATTCTATACCATTCCAGACTAACTCCAGTCTCTTCTTGAAAATCTCCAGTGATGGAGCATCCATAATTTCTGGAGGCATGCTGTTGCACTCATTAATTGTTCTCATTGTTAGGAAATTTTTCCTTAATTCTAGTTTGGATCTCTATTGAAGAATTTTCCATCTGTTGCTTCTTGTCCTGCTCTCAATTGCTTTGGAGCAGGGGTCGCCAACCTTTTGGACCTCAGGGAACACCAAACTCATAATTTTAAATCCCGCGGACCACTAATATGAATTTTGACTGACGATGGCTTGCTGACGTTGGTGGGAAAGTCAGTCCCATATTCCAGAGCTTCAGGAGTCATGGACTGGCCCTTTGGTCATCCTGGAGTAGCTGCTCCTCCAACCGGGTGCACCAGCCTGCCATGGACTGGAAGAGCTGCTCCGGGATGACCAAACGGCCAGTCTTGTGACTACTACAGCTCTGGAATATAGGACTGACTTTCCCACCAACGTCAGCAAGTCACCCCGGGGCAGATTTCCCTCACCTGCCATTGGTCTTACCTTCCAGTTCTAGCTCGCGTGGCTCTACTCAAGGTAAGGATTGTGCTCGGCCAAAGTGTAGGAGCAAGAGGGTAGGTGGGCCACGTGGGCTATGTAGCCTGGTGTTGCTGCACAGCCTGGATTAATTGCTTTGGGGGGGAATGCTTTTTTGGGGGGGGGACATTTCTCTGTGAACCACCAAAATTTTCTCATGGGCAACCAGTAGTCCCCAGCCCACTGGTTGGAGACCACTGCTTTGGAGAATAGGTTGACCCCTCTTCTGGTGACAGTCCCTGAAGTACTTGAAGACTGCTATCATGTCATCCCTAGTCCTTCTCTTCATTAGACTAGATATAACTAATTCCCTTAACTATTCATCGTATACTTTAGCCTCCGGGCTACTTATCAACTTGGTTATTCTTTTCTGCAGTCTTTCTATAGTCTCAGCATCTTTTTTGTACTGTAGTGACCAGAAGGTAACAGTAGACTGAAGACAATTCATCAATCCAAATGTTAAAATCAGGTGGAGTTTTCCATCAGAATTAACTATTTTTTAGTTATAGACCATGTCCAATAAATCCCAAGTTCTGCATACATCAATAAACTGTAATATTTGATATATAATTCAATATCACATTAGCAAACCTTATTTCTTTTCTTTTATTAGCATACTTGTTATTGAACCAAAGAAATGTATTCTGGAGCAGGGCAAAACCACCTGTTCCTTTTTTATTTTATACTCTCAGCATATTGATGCTGAAATCCATCACTTGAAATATATCCTTGAGATATCCAACACATTTCAAAGGTAATCTTTTTTTTGATTAAATGCATCTTATAATCATTCTTTAACAAAGTAACTTGCTCATTTGTTTATAAAAAAAACAAGACATCTAACCTTTTTTTTTACTGGTTGTGTAAATTCTAGATACTTGGCCTGAGAGAAGAGCTTTAGTAGAAGGGCCCATAAGATATGGAAAGGTTGTGAGACTTCAGACACCTGAATTTGGTCAGTTGCAGTTCTTCATCACAAGGGAATATCTAGATCGGGGTGCTCAACCTTGGCAAATTAAGATTTGTGGACTTCAATTCCCAGAATTTTTCAGGAAGCATGAAGTCCACAGGTCATAGTTGCTAAGGTTGGATACCCTAGATCTAGAGGCTGGGTACTTTTCAGCATGGAGGTGTTATCCTGACAATCAATCTTCATCATGATTAATAGATATAACAGGATCTGGGGTTATTTTGGTGGTGTCTGTTTGTATGTGTAAGGAGCTTGGAAACTACAATGGCAATCAATCCATTAAACTGAACCCTTTGTATCAATGACATTATTTCCTCCACCTTGAGGTCTACACATTGCAAGTAGTATTAAAAGTAGTCCTCAGCATGCAATCATTCATTGAGGAACCATTCAAACTTACAATGGCAATAGTTCTAAGCACTTAAAAATCACTGTAGCATCCCCATGGTCACATGATCAAAATATGGGTGTTTGACAACCAGCATATATTTATGATGCTTGCACATCCCAGGGTCATGTGATCATCATTTGCATATTTCCAGCCAGCTTCCAACAAACTAGGGAAAGATGGATTCACTTAACAACTGCAGTGATTCGCTTAACAACCATTATAAAAAGGGTCATAAAACTGAACAGGGCTCACTTAAGAACTACTTTGCTTAACTATGGAAATTCTGGTCTCAACTGTGGTCCTGTGTCAAGGACTTCCTATACCAAGAAGATGGTGAGTTTCATAGCTTGGATGGGTTCAGGAAGTGGCTAGTCAGCCATTTTTCTCTTGCATTAATAGTGATTAAGCATCTAATGTCTTCTTGCACTGTGGTCAAGAAATCTATACAATTAGGAATACTCTCATTTGGAGTCCTGCACAGAACGAAGAATTGGGCTCAGTCAGCTAAGTGCTCCCTTCCTAGACTTTCTTTCAAGGGTGTCAAACCTGCTTCTAAGCCTGCAGCTTTCTTGGGACACCTTCCTTGTCTCATTGAGGACTTGCCTTTTGTTCCTGTCTTCCCATCCTTACCTTTGAAGCATTAGTGGCTGGAGCACGATACCGATCCAATGTATGGAATTTCTGATTCAACTCATGGTAGAGTTCTGAATGGCGTTTCTTTGTGTGCATAACTTTCTGCAAATGTTCACAGCAATAATCCCCGAGATGAAAGGAGGGAGAGAGAAAAGAAAAGAGAGGTCACTGTTTGTACTGAAGAGCTCTATCCCTCACATCTTCTCACCCAAAATGTGTGGCCAATGAAAGAAAAATCAAGTGTAGGATCTTTCTTGATAACCTCTTGAGGCTTAGTTTAGCCATCACCTTTCTAAGCAAGGGGAGGTTCTCATTGTTATGTTGGATGCTCAAGACTCAGTCAAAACTCCCCCTTTCTTGGAAGCTTCAAGAGGTTATCAAGCTAAGCTGAGCTAAGCTTCAAAAGGGTATCAAGAAAGTTCCCATTGTATGCTTCCCTGTGCTCTGCATTAGGATGTCGATGAAAAATGGGCATGCGCACTGATGTTGGGCAAACAGCTTCAAAGTACTGATAGAAGAGAATGTTTGCAGCTTAGGGTTGAACTGTGGGGTCCTTGGTGGTCTCTGAGCTTAGTTGTTTTCTTGTAGAGTCCCAAAGGTGTTTTTCAAGAGGCAACTGGACTTTCTTGTTTTTCTTTGAAAACATTTCACTTCTCATCCAAGAAACTTCTTCACCTCTGACTGGATGGTGGGTTAATGGAAGGATTAATGCTCCTTGTCATTTGCATAATTTTAGAGAGTCATTGAGACAACTTGGAGGTTTATTTATGTCCTCAGGGTCACCTAAGTAGTGCAAATGGATGTGGATCCTTCTTGAAACTGCAGAAAGGACTGGAGATTGATGAAGTTGTATCCCTACCCATCTGTCGAGAGAGGGATGTTCAGTTTTGACATAGATGGCCTCTTTGACCCCTCTTTCAAACCAGCGGTCCTCTCTGTTCCAAAATATAGACTTTACTGTCTTCAAAAGAGTGGCCTTTGTCTTTTATGATGACATATCATATGATGACATACCATGACATATCCAGGTGGCCTCAACAATTCTCTAAAAGAATGCAAATGAACAGCTTTCTGCAAGGAGTATAAATCTTTCCATTTTCCACCATCCAATCAGAGCTGAAGAAGCTTCTTGGCTGATAAGTGAGACATTTTTTAAAAAATACAAGGAAGTCCAGTTGCCTCTTGAAAAAGCACCTTTGGGACAACCATGACTGAGAATCTCCATAGACATTTTTTTGTAGAGGTTTCATGATCAAACTAGTTAACCTCATCAGTGCACCAAGCCAACAGCTGGCAAGTGCACCAGATCCTTTAATTTTAATCCTTTCCCTCCCTTTCCAACCAATTAGTTCATTCATAACTTTGCCTTAATCTACATATTCTTTCATGTCAAGCTTTTTATTTGTATTTTTTAAGGCAAACAACATCTGGAGTTGGGATGGAGAGCTTTTTCCTCTTGCCAGCTGTTGGCTGGAGATAAGCTTTTTGTTAGTAAATTGCAGATTGGTTGAAGAACCAATGGATTATAGCAGCCTTTGCTTATTATTTCTGGGAGTAACCAACCCAGGACAACTTTAAATAACCATTGTGTTGTGAATTCCCAACAGTGGTGTTACACAAGCAGAAAATAATTGGACAGTAACTAGGAAGCAAAACAAGACCACCTAGTTTTCCAAAGGGATTTTTTTTTTATTAAAATACACAATTGACTGGCCCTGAGGGTATCTTGGGAGAAGGCAAACATAGCCTGCAGAGAATTTGAGAAAGAGATCATCCCCTGGGAGCACTAAAACCTCTTGAGCTTCCTAAGATGTTGGTAAAATGAGGTCTGAACTTCTAAAGATCTAACAAAACTTCTGATTTGTGAGAAGGCTGAGATGTGAAGGCAAACACATCCTTGAACTGTTATGTATTACTTTTCCCTTCTTCCAACATTGTGATGGACTAGGCCTCCTCTATCAGATAAGGCTATTATACTGGCCGAGATGAAAGACCAGTGGTTTGGGGTATGTTCTCCTTGAACTGTTTCTGTCTTCTTTTGTGGTGATGGTGATGAGAAGAGTAGTTTTCAGGTGCATTACAACTGGCAATTGTAAGAATCAAAGATTGGCCTCGGCCGTGTTCTTGTTCTCCTCTCTCCTCCCCATCAAATTTTTCTCTTGTGCTCTGCTTTTTTCAGATTGTAAACCTGAAGGTCACAGGGATTTTTCTCCTTCTTAAAACAACAACAACAACACCTTACACTTGTCTACAAACCACTCAGAAATCTTTTCCTATGAGATTGGGGAAGCAGTGCTTTTAATGGATAAAAAATATGTCTATTCAAGACATTCAAAGAGGTTCGTGAGTTGATAGGCTGAAACCAGATACTTAAACTTGGAAATACTCCTCTAGAAGCTATAAAACTTAATTTTTTTGAAAGGGCCTTTGGGACTGATCTCCAGCAATACAGGTAGTCCTTGACTTACAGCAGTTCATTTAGTGACCGTTCAAAGTTCCAACCACGCTGAAAAAAGTGATTTATAACCGTTTTTCACACTTACAACCATTGCAGCATCCCCATGGTCACATGATCAAAATTCAGATGCTTGGCAACTGACTCACATTTATGATGGTTGCAGTGTTCCAGAGTTATGTGATTCCCTTTTGCGACCCTCTGACAAGCAAAGTCAATGGGGAAGCCAGATTTACTCAATAACCCTCTTACTAACTGAACAACTGCAGTGATTCACTTTAACAAATGAGGCAAGAAAAGTTGTAAAAATGGAGCACTTGCCACACAGTGGCAAGGCAGATCGTAAAATGGGGCAAAATTCACTTAACAAATATCTTGCTTAACAACAGAAATCTTGGATTCAATTGCAGCCATAAGTTGAAAACTACTTGTACGTTGGGAATTGTGTGCTCATGGTTGGTATCTTTCGGTTTATTTTATTTTTGTGGTGTTGTATTTTGTATTATTATCGAATTTAGTGAGCATTCTTGATCGTGGATGTTTTATTGTACTGTATTCCTTTTGTTGAAGGGAGTTTGAAAGGATTCAGAAGCACAGAAATAATAAAAATAATAAGCAACAAACAAATCAATAAACAAATCTTCCAGAACACTGCTAACAGTAACACCCATCATAAAGCATAACGATCAGCAGACCGGTAACATATCACAACATAAGATATGGAAAGCAGCAGTAAGGAACAAAATTAAAGCTACAACATGGATCAAAATGCCTAGAAGGTGGCCACACATAAGAAGCAGAGTGGAGAGTGATTTCTTGCTCCCTTTAACTTCTAACCCATCTCATTTTAGTCTTCTGCCTAATTGCCAGTTAGCTCCTGTGCAAGTATGGAAGAGCCACTGCCCTACTCTGCTTCATCATAAGGTGCATCGTGGTGGAATGTAGTCTGGATTCCCAGGAGGAAAGGGCTGCTTTCCACCTGGCAAAGAAGCAGTGGAACCTGGACACTTTGGTTGGCAGGGAGAGGATTAAAATAGATCCACCCTAGCAGTTCGCAGAATATATCTGCAGTTACCCATAATTGCTTTAGTCCGGCAAGGTTCTGTCTATACACAAAGAACAATAATGTAAACTATTCTAAAGTAACTTCACATGTCTTTCTCAGTTCTTGGGTCCAGATTTTTATCATAGCAACCTGGATGGTAAAAAGGATGCATAGAATTTGTATGCATGACCATTTTACTTTGCCCAGGTGAGTTGAGATGCTACTTTCAGCTTGAAATCAGGCATGCCTGATTCCCGGAGACATTCAAGGTCAGGCTAGACTAGGACGAAGTAAGGAAGTCTTAGTCATTTCCTTCATTACTGGGGAATGTATCTGGGAATCAACCGCACCCTTGCTATTACTGGTTTTGAAGGTTTTGCGTTTAGGTTGAATTGTAATTTGAAATTAGTAATTGAATTGCTAATGGGACTTGAGACAAAGAACTCATTCTGCCCTGGATCAATCTGGAAATGTGGCCAAAATGTTTTTTCCACAGCTCAGTGCGATTGCAGGGAAGAAAAGTGGGGGAGAGAAGAAACAAGACAGGTGTGGTTTAAGAAAATAAATACAAATGAGCCCTGAGCTGAAGGTGAAGGATGCTGCTCTTTTCATAGCTTGCTGAAAAATGTGTTTGGTTTGCATTTATTCCAGATTTCTTGAATGCTTATTTCCAGAATCGAGACACAAACTATAATGCAACCATCTTTTAATATTCATGTTTTTCTGAATTTTGCAGAGTTGTTTCCTAACCCAGATGTTAGGAAATGCAGGTATTTGTGAAAATGATCCCAAAATGCTTATATTGGCAAAAAAATAACTGAAATTTATTAGGGGAAGGGAACTCATTTGGAAAGCAAAGCTTATATTAGAAAAACACTACATACTCATTTCTGCATTAGAAGAAAGGCCTCTGTAAAGTAGAGTCCTAACTTCTTTTCCCTCCTGCTGCCCCCCAGCTGATCTAGAAACGAGAATCTGAGCAAAATTAAACTTGACAAATTCACCTATCCCTGTTCTTAACCAACTGACATTGAGTCAAAAGCAGGCTGACAGCAGAGTCCTGGGTATTCTGCACTCGAAATCCATAACAGTTTTATGCAAGTAGCACTGACACAATCCCTCCCCCTCCCCAAGAGTTCTGAGATTAATAAATTGGCAAAAATATGTAGCCATTTGTAAAACCTCCCTCCCCCCATTAATTCTCAAAATTTCACAAGATCAGTGAGAAAGAGGGGTTTCCATTATTTTCATTTCAGTGCTTCCCACAATTACAGATCTTAAATCAATTTGAAAATTTGAAATACGAAAAACAGATTGAAACGCTACAAGTTATTCAATTTAAAAGGTGAAGGAAGAACAGGACAAACATGAAATCACAATAATCGCACAACAGGAATGCCTTAAGGAAGCATCAGACTTTTTAAAAAGGGCCTAACAGATACAATCTCTTGATGGCCAACAGTTGGAGATGTTACAGTTGTATTCCTCACTGAGCAGGAAGTTGGACTAGATGTCACTTTCACCCTTATTTTGCAATTTCAGGGCTTCCAGAGGGAGAACATTTCAGAGGAGGCTTGTGATTCTTGGCATCCAATGGAAGACTTTCCCAGTTGATCTTAGCAATCAAAAGAATTTGTCAGGTGTCCTGGTCATTTGTATAGCAATAGCACTTAGACTTATATGCCGCTTCACAGTGCTTTACAGCCCTCTGAAAGCAGTTTACAGAGTCAGCGTATTGCCCCCCAACAATTTGGGTCCTCCTTTTACCCACCTCGGAAGGATGGAAGGCTGAGTCAGCCTTCAGCCTGGTAGGATTTGAACTGCCAAATTGTAGGCAGCTGGCTGCAGCAGAAGTAGCTTGCAGTACTGCACCACAGAGGCTCCTGTATATCAAGATTAAGACCTGTAACCTGACTTGGTAGCTATGCACTAAGACGGGCCTTCAAACTTAACAGCTTTAAGACTTGTGGATTTAAACTCCCAGAATTCCTCCTCCAGTCATGTTAGCTCAGGAATTCTGGGAATTGAAGTCCACAAGTCTTAAACTTGCCAAGTTTGAAGACCCTTGCACTAAGTACCTTAGCTAATGCATGATGAGTTTCTTTAAGCTCCAATGACAGTGATAATCTAAGATAACCCTCAAATAACATATCTGCTCTTTAAGAAGGGATTACCTCCCCATTAGTTGAAGTAAATTTCCTAATTTTGGGATTCTCCCCACAGCCTTGAGTTCCATTCAGTCTGGATTCAGTTTTTAGGCTGAACTGTTTCAGAGGCAAGGGAAAGTACAGCTAATATGCTAATAGACTTCACAATTGCCTTAGAACTAGGGTGGTTTTTTTTCCCCACCATAATTTTCTTTGTTGTATTGCAAACCACTCTGAGTCCTGTGAGTTAGGCATCATTATCAAATGCTGATGGTATCAACATATATCAGCATATTGATGACTACATCGGATGGCTTTGTATAGATGCTAAGTACCACTGTGGACATCTCTCAACATAGTTTAGGTAGTATCATTCTTTGAAATCTTCCCTGAAAGTCCTACTGGAATCACTGAAATTTAAGGACCCAACCCAACCCCAACTCACAGAAGGATATTAATTGATATTATCTAAAGCTACTGAAAGATCAACTAGGAGGAAGAGTCTGTCTCTCTTCCACAGGAGGTCATCTACCATGCCTGATATTTCTGTCTTCAAACCAGGCCAAACGGTTTTGAGATAATTAGCATCCTCTAAGAATATCTGCAGCAACATAGATTAAAATTATAGATTCATAGCAACATAGATTTTCCTTGATTGAAAAAAAGGTTATTTATGCACAAGTATTTATGGACAAAATACTGTGAATCTAGGAATAGCTTCTTCAGAAGTGACTCTTTTATTCCATCACACAAAGATTTCTTCACTGCTTTCTGGATCTACCTAATCACCTCTCTTTGGGTATCTCAAATATTGAGCAGGATTTAAGAGGGCATATGGTTCCTCAAGAGTCTTACTGAGTCTCCTTGAGACTTGAAAATGGAAAGTGATCTCATAAAGGTTGGCCAGGTATAACCACAATATCTTAATATGTATTGCATCAAATCCAGAGTTCATGATAATATAAAGACAAGTGATTTTATGCTCTAAATGCCTCACAAATCTGTCACAGCAGATCCCTGAAGGTTCCAGCATCAGGTTTTCCAAAACAGATGACAACAAACCCTTAATCACTTTAAAGTGCACTGCTGGACAGCTTCTTGAGGATGCAGTGGAGACTGTACAGAAAGCTTTCTCTGCAGCCTTCACCACTGAGTAATAAGCATGAATGACTCTTACAGTATCCTGAAAAAGCAAAGGTATTCGACTTCACTGTCCCAGAGAGAGGACTTCATAACTGTAATTCATGATAAATCAATAGAGGTTCACTAAAGATCACTGATTCTGGAGATTCTTCCAGAACATCCCAGAACCCATCAGATTCCCTAAAACTCCAGGACCAATTATCTTAATTGATCCCCTTCCCTACTGGAGAAGGAAAGTTAAGAGATACCTAACTTCTCTGTGTGATGGTTTACCCATGAAAGAAAATTCTCATTGGCTTGATGATAACTTTAGACAGACTCATGGTTGTCGAAGAGATAATTAAATCTTAGATAGGAGTATATATTTTACAATAGCAATAGCATTTAGACTTATATACCACTCCATAGTGTTTTACAGCACTTTATGAGTGGTTTACAGTGTCCCCAACAGTATTGACTTCAGAAGGATGGAAGTTAATCCTGAGCCCTTCAGAATCAAACTCCAGACTGTGGGCAGAATTAGCCTGCAATATTGCATCTTCACTACTGTACCAACAGTTCTGGGCACTTACTGCTCCAGCCCATCCTCTACACCAAGGGCATACAGACAGAGCTCCCACCTAGACCACTGTCCCCCAAATTCAGAACCCATCAGAACAAAGTCAACTGGACACTCCCCATCCCAGGAGTATCATTATAGAATATAGACAACTGTCTGGTCAGCAGTTAGACAGGGCACAACTGGAATTTCTGATATCACAAAAGGTGTCACTCAATTATACCCCAGGTGGGCACTCACCTCAAAATCCAGGTCAGAGTACCGTAGTCTTTTCCTCTGAGGAGGGAGGCATGAAGTAAGCATACCACAAGGTGGGAGGAAGGAAAAAAAGAAAAGCCTTCATTACTTTGTCTAATTCTTAGATGGAGTTTTGGAGAGCAGATTGTTGGAAGGCACCCAAGAAATCATCAGAACACAGAGAGATGGAAGTGTGGGAAGTGGGTTAGAAGAAGCAGGAGGATAAAGTTATCTCCAAAGCATCACAGGAGCAGAGAACAGGATGAACTCTAATGCAGTTTTGTGGCCATTTCCTTTGGCCAATTGTCTGCGGCTATTCTAAGTGCATCTTCTAACAGGCTCATAGATGACCGTTTTTCAATGGCCTCTAGTTCTGAGAGGTTCATATCATTTGGATGAGTTCTTTCATTCCATGTACCCCAACATTGGAAAAAGAAATGGAAAGGAAGAAGTTGAGTTTTAGCATTTGACCTCAAAGATAGGGGGTTGATTGCATTTCAGCACAACTCTCTCCCATTTTAGTGACTTCTACATAACAGTGGAGGAGGTAATTAACACCACCTTCCCTGAAGCCCAGGGCCATGAGAATAGAATCCAAAGGGCAGACCTTCTCTTTTCCTTGTCTATCAATCTCCATCCTGCTGACAACCTAAAGCTCAGCCCCCTTTCCATACTTCAGTTGTGGTGCTCTTCCCTACCTCTATCTCCTCCCAAAACAACTACTTTTCTTCCATCCTCTGGAACCCTCCAGAAGCTGTTGTTCTGGAGCTCCCCCACCAAAAAACCTCATCTTTACAACCAGGTTTGTCTGAAGTGACTACTTTTTCTCCACAAACAAACAAACAAATTTGAGGATGAAAATGCAAGAGCTGTGGCTTCTACGGCAGTGCCAAACAGAGAAACTCTTCAACCAAGGGGTGGGCGCAAGGGGGCCCTTAGCTCACAGCATATTCACTAAACACCAAAGGAAAAAGGGGAGGATTAAATGCAGATTAAATCAAGTTAGGGATCCGTGTGGTCTAAGAATGCAGGATTCTGAAATAGATGGGCAGAGGGCTGCTTTTATGCTTCTTGAACAATCTCTGCGTTTCACAGCAGAAACACCCCATGCCTGCCCTTGAATTCAAAGTCAGACTACTTGCTGCAGGCAACAGTTTCTGCAGGGAAAACAGATGCAGTCATGGTACAGGCTCAAACTGGTTGAACAATCCATTTTAACTCCCGGGAAGATTGTCCAATCATTTTTAGTGCAGAAGTTGAAAAAAGGCTAAGGCAGTCTTGGGAGGCATTCATGTGGTAGAATGTAGTCTGGATTCCCAGGAGGGAGGGGCTGCATTCCAGAGGGCAAAGCGGCAGCAAAACATAGAAAGTTTGGTCAGGTGGAAGAGAGTTTCAAAGGTTCTTCTCTAATCATTCCCGGAGTATATTTATAGTGTTGCAAATATAGATAGTCCTCAGCTTACAAACACAATTGAACCAAACATTTCTGTTGCTAAGTGAGACCATTTTACAATCTTTCTTGACATAGCTGTTAAATGAATTAACTGAATTGTTCTTAAGTGAATTTGGCTTCCCCATTGACTTTGCTTGTCAGAAGTTTGCAAAAGGGGATCACATATGATGACTCCAGGACCCTGCCACAGCCATGAATACAAGTCAGTTGCCAAACATCTGAATATTGACCACGTGACCATGGGGAAGCTGCAATGGTCATAAAGGTGATAAATGGTCATAAGTCACTTTTTCAGTGCCGTTGTACATTTTGAATGGTTGCTAAATGTACTGTTGTAAGTTGAGGACTACCTGTAGTTGTTTCAACTTGGTAAAATTTCTGTCTGCTAGTGAAGAACAGTCAAGGAAACTGCCTAGAAGTAATTCCATGTGTCTTTGGGGCCTGAGAGGGAGGCATGCAAGCTCTCCCTGCACTGAGGAACACCCAGGATTAATGGCTGATACTTCACGTCAACCATAAATCAGTAGAACATACTACACCTACTTCAGGTTTATATTACAAGTTCCTGGTTCAAAATGGTGAGAAAATAAAATTCCATGTGCTGTTCTCAATTCTTGGGGACCGGATAACTAAACATGCATTGATCAGGCCGCATGTGGGGTGCTGTCTCTAGTTCTGGGCACTCCTTGTTAAAAAGGATGCAGGGTATTTGAAGCAAGCTCAGAGAATCACAATGCTGATCTGGAACTCCAAGCAGACAGAGAAGTGTGTTCAAGGTGCTGGACATGTTCAGCTTGCTAAAAGGAAGACCAAAGGGAAATAATTGTGATTATGTCTAAATAGCTAATAGGTTGTCATATGCAAGAACAGTCAGGTTTTTCTCCAACAAAATTGAGAGGAGGACAAAGGCCAAATGGTTGAAATTAAAAGGAAAACGTTTAATGGGAAATGAACTGTCAGGGTAGTAAAAGTACTGCAAGGTGGAACAGGCTGCTGAAATTGTGGTAGAGTCCCCTTTGTTACAGCTTTCAAATTGGTATCTGGCTGGAAACTTCCAGTTTGAAGGGCTTCGGCGACAGACAGGAATCTGCGATCGTGCACGGTTTCTGCCTGGGCTCGCAGCTGGAGCGCCCCGAGCCAGCTGGCTTCGGGGCTAAGCCACCTCGTAGAGGTGGTGAAGACAGGGGAGCACCAGCAGGGTTGAGGAGAGCCACATCTCTCCTCCTCAGCTAGCCAAATTCCCTTTCCTGAAGGCAGTAAGAGCAGCGGTCAGAAATGGCCACCTCAAAGAAGCACTCAACCAGAAAAGAAAGTGCAGGAGGAAGTTAAGAAGTGAAAGTTTTGGCTGACTGGGATAAAAAGCAACAACTAAGGTACCCTGGAATTTAAATTTCATAAAAGATAACATCGCTCCCAAAGAAGAGTCAGAAGCAACGAATGAAAGTGAAAAGAGAAAGGGTTTTTTTTTCCCACTCTCCTTCCTTATGTTGACAATGAAGAGAGCTGAATAAGAAATCAGAAAAATTCGCTTTGGCAAATGCCAAAAGGACAATAAAGATTTTTGAACACTAAAAAATCCATTTTTTTGCTATAAGTGGGAAGGGAGAGGAAAAGAATAAGGGCAGGATTTGGAAGGAGGAGTCTGCCTGGAATTCAGAATAATCTAAAGTTAAATCTTTATAAGTCTTCTAAAAGATACATTTTAACTGTAACTTTGCAACTAAATAATAACCACAAGAAGAGAAAGTGAAAAAAGAAGAAAGTGTTAAAAGAAACAGTCTGTGTGTATTTGGATTGCTTGGTGACTTTGGGATTTCTGGAAATTATATTTGAAAGATTAAAAGCAATTGGGGGGTTGTTTAAAAACTTCTACAATGGCATCACTTCTGGATGAACTGAAAATGGAATTTAAAAAATATAAAGAAGAGGCACAAGAAGGGAAGGGCTCCTTTGGCTCTGTTTTTCAATTCTTAGAAATGGCAATCTGTGTCTACAAGAAACAACAAGAAAAGACTGTGCAACAAGAAGATTGGGACAAAGAAGAAGCCATCTTTAATGAACAAGTAACTTTATCTGGGGAAGAAAGGGGAAAGGGGGGAAAGAGAATGGGGAATTTAAGACTTAAAAAACAGCCAAAAAAGGGCAAAATAATATGAAAAGTGGATATAATGTTGGAAAGCAACAGAAAAGGGGGATACAGAAGAGGGAAATGGAGGTGGAGAGACAAGGGGGTAAAAAGGGGAGAGAGAAGAAGAAAGGGAAGAGAAGTTACAAAGGTTTGGAGCAAGATGTAAAGAAACAAGGCTTATTTAGAGATAATGGGTGAAAATTTAACTGAAAAAGGGATTCTGCAAGGTACGTAAGATTGTATTGTTATATTTGTAATATAAATAATGTTAGAAAATTGGAAACAATATATGATTAAAAAGTGGGATAAAATAGTCAGTGCAATTCAGTGAAACTTTTGTGAACAAAATAAATGAAATGAAATAAATGAGAGAATTGAATTAGGAAGGAATGGGAACATTTTAACTACTCAATGTTTTATAAAATATAAGTGAAATGGGGGGGAAGTAACTATGGAAAGTTTATAAGTGTTCCCATAGAAGTATGATACTTATTTGAAAAGTAATGTGTAAAATGTTTAAGATTTAAATGAATATTCATATTAATGATAGAATTGATTTGGTATGGATTGTTGTTTTAATTATATTATATATTCATAACTTTTTCTTTTTCTAAAATACAGTGTGTAGTTTTAGAATGTACCAAGCAGAATCCGAACGGAAGTTATGTATTATATTAAGTGTTATAATTTTGGGGGAAAGATATAAAGGCGTCATACTCCGATCAGTGATTACAGGCAAAATGATGTTTAATGAGAAAAGATAATAGACAGTTAAAACAGGACAGACAAAGAATATAAGTACAATGATTTGAATTGAGATGAAATAAATAAAATAAAATCAAGAAAGTTAAAAGAGAGGAGAAGCTATGTAGAAAATGTAGAATAGTAATAAGATATGGAATGGAATATAAAAATGAGCATGAACTTGAATTTGTGTCTGTACGAAGAGATGTAACCTGGGATCATGCCGCTTTCAAAAAAAGATGTTTTATGTTCTTATGTTCTATGGTTTGTTTGTTTATGTTTGTTTTTAAAAATCAATACAATTTAAATAAAAAAAATTGATATTTGGCTGGTCAACTCATGGGGATGATTGAGGTTTATGAATCTGTGAAATCCTTTTCTACCCAGGGCAGAAAAAGCTGTGTGGGAAATTTTGGGAGTCCGTGTCCTGTGGGGTGGAATTTGCAACTGGAGAAGGAATGGGGGAGAATTCCAACAAGAAGACTGCCGTTACCCAGGGAGGAGGCAATAAATTTCAGAGAGGGCCCCCAAACAAGAGACAGCACAGTCCTGAACTGGATGGTGGCGAAAGGAAAACGATCAGGGTAGCCACAGCCTAGAATCTCCCAGGATACAGTATATCTATTAGATTAGGAGGTAATCATTTTAGTCTGTCAAGATTCTGTCTATTAAGCAAATAAAGATCTGGATTCATTTGGATTTCACTCTGCCATTTTTATTATTATGCCTGACAAATCTACATTTTAAAGTAGCCAAGCTTAAGAAACATTAATTTAGACCTTCACCACAGCTCTTCTAGAATCTTTGGGGAGAAAGCCACTAGCAATCCCAGGGTAAGTGTGAGCTGTAGAGAACCTGTCTAGTCAAAACATTTTTAATTAGACAAATGATCCCAAAGGCGTGCACATGCCACCTTGTATACAAGTGCCTCCTTGGTCTCAAACATCCACTTTTATACATGAAGACTTTTCTGGTGAATTTCCTTATGCAGATCCACATGTTGCAACCACCACCTATCCCCACATGATCACCTGTGCACATCAAATGCATCTGTAGCATTTTCAGAACCCACATATGCAACTGATGAGGAAACATTCTTATAGCTTATACTAGTTTATATAAAATATATGGAAAAACTTTGCACATGGAAAACATGACTTTGGGAAGAAGTGTCTAGACTGGAAATATTTTTAATGAGATGTATTTTCTAGGCACTGACAACAGTTTTGGAGACAATACCATCAAACATACCATTCTTTTCTTTTCAATGTCCAACATTCTGTTTTAAGGCTGTAATACTATTCTAAATTGCAATTCCTTGATACAACAGAAATAGCTTAAAGTCCTTTTCCTCCCCTGTATCTTAAGTCAAAATAAATCATAGATAATGGAACATTTAGGGAAGGAAACAGGAAGAAACTTCAGCTGTCCTCTACCATCTTTGGATCCTGCACCAGTTGCAGGAAAAGGCTAGGAAGCATTGGACAATATGATGGTATTACAGTAAAAACACTTCTATGGCAATTCCTCATCCTGGACCCAAGACAAAGCAAAAGTCAAGGATTCAATATGCTCTTAAACAGAAATAAACCTAGTTAAACTCACTTGGACTTACCTCTCAGCAAGTATGCAGAAGCATTTAACAGCTCAAAGAATAGTCTAATTGGGATTCTGCACTTCTTCCATCCTTCCACACTAAGTTAGTTACAGGTAGTCCTTGACCTGCAACTGGTTGCTTAGCAACATTTTGAAGTTACTTCTCACTCAGATTCAAAGTACCAATGGTAACCTCTCCTGTGGTCACATGACCAACATTCAGCCACTTGGCAACTGGGCTGAATTTTTGGCCATTTGCAGCATCCAGCGGTCATGTGATTGCATTTTATGATGGTTTGGTTCTGTTTTTTTGCAAAACTACACCCATCATGAATCACTGACGTGTTCAACAATCCGACATTTACTTAATGACCACAGCAAAAAGGGTCATACAATCAATGAATATTATGACCATCCCAACTTAACAATTGTGATGGGCAGCTCCATTACAACCACAAGCCAAGGACTACCTCTAATTTTTAACCCTCCACCTGGCCACTAATGAACTCATGCTTATACAAGCAAACTCCTGAGCCAGAGATTCTACTCAAGCCAGAGATCAGCTGCTATGGCTTCAATTCAATGTCAAAGAAGCCTGTGTAGACTAAAAGGGACTCTTACCTCCAGGGAGCCCACTTTCATAGCCGAGCCAGGCACGGTGCGGGGCATGCTGCGGCTTCGCTCTGACAACTCTGAGGAGAGGATCTGCCGCACTGTGGGGTGTTGCTTGAATTGAAGGCTGTATGGATGCTTGACTGTCCCATAGGGCTGGTTCAAGTTCACGTTGATGTGGTCCATGGAGGCAAAGTTGGGGTAAGCCTCGGCCTCCACTGATTGCCGGCCCTGAGGCAGGCCTGGAGGTTCGTCCAACTTAATGTTGAGTTTTCCTTCTTCCCTGGAGAAAGGCTTAAGGCTCACTGTCCTCCGGGGAAGCACCATGTAATTGCTCTCAAGGGAAGCCTCCTGCGAATGCAGCCAACCGTAATCCAGTTGCCTCAGGTTGCTGTCACTGCACAAGTAGACTGGCCCACGGGCTACATCCACGTTAATGTCCTTCTTGGCAGGAGGGTCGCTGAGCTCCTTCAGCCCTTTCACCACATTGTGTGTCATTTGTGGCATCTGGACCAGGATGGAAGTGGGCGGGATGTTCCCTGGGAGGGTGGAGAAGCCCAGGCCACCTTCGGAGCTGGTGTTGAGTTTTGGATCCTCATCACCATCCAGGGAGATGCGTGATAATGTGCTGGTGATGGTAGCTGGGTTGCACGTGTTAACCTCTTTAAAGAGGACTGGGAGAGGAGTGGGGGGTGGGTTAGACAGATTATGAAACAAAATTCCCTATGCATTGGCAATTTGTCAAGGAGTTTGGAGAAGGAGAAAGAGCAATTGTTTAACAGGGATTTTTTTCTATTTTTAAACTTTTCTAATGGAAATAGAAGTGTGCCTGTCATACCTAACCTAGGTCACAGTGCCCTGGTTGTGGGAAAATGGGTTTTTCTAAGACTGGAAATTTGATTTTTTAAGGAAAGAGTGTACAACCCCAAAATCTGAAGCTGAGGGAAACTATTAAGTTCTTCTGAGTTTAATATTAAGAGTGCTAGCGGGGGAGGGGGGAGAGCAGGAAATCTGCTTCTCCCCTCTAAAAATTCTCATTCTGTTTGACAAAAGAGACTTAGCTTTCAAATTTCCTTCCCCTTCTCCCCAAATGAGAATTTTGGTAAAAATTTTCAAAACACCTTTGCATTTAGTGTGGTGCCTTGACTCTTATCCTTCACTGCACCATCACACCTGCAGTGAAGTACCTCCTCCCCCTGAATACATGGTGTACACAATCTTGTGTGAGGAGTGCACAGGCAGATCTACAAAAGGGGAAGGATTTCCATTGTAGTATCCTCCATTTTGCAGATTTTGATTCCCCCCACCCCCCCAACTTACAAACCTCCCTGCTGGGATCTTTTACAACTGGGAAAGAGTGGGCAGCCAGAAAAGTGGCAGAAGGAGGTCACAGAAAATATTTTCTCCTTTTGGTAACTACTTCTGATTCTTCCAACCATACAGTCAGCTGAAAACCAGCTTAGTGAAATTTGAAAGTAATTTTAACCATAAGGGGATAAAACAGAAGGGGAATACAAAAATTGGACAAATTGGACAACTGGTTTCAGCATAATATAGGTGTTAATTTCAGGCTGAATTGATGGTGTGGAAGATAATGAGGAAAAGAAAGAGAAATTGGACTGGACAATAATAATTACTAGTACATATGTGTACAGTACATAGCCTGATCTGGTCCTACCATTAGACTTAAGTTGGCTGGGCCTAGCACTGAAAGCTTCCTTCTCTTGCAACCAACTTCCTTCTTTTTGCCCCATATGTCACAACCCACCAAATCCTGACCTCCTAACCTTCCTCAATCCCCCCAAAACTGAGTTTCTTCTACACCCTGGGAACATACTGGTCCTTTCTCCATTATGCAGATCATTCCACAGTCAAATCCTCTTTTTCTCACACAGGAAAGAAGAGAGAGACCCTCACCTGTCTGACACGCCAGGTCAACATCCTTTTCAAAATCTGTCTATAAAAACACAGGAAGAGGGGGAGAAAGGTAGAAGAGAAGAGAAGAGAAGAGAAGAGAAGAGAAGAGAAGAGAAGAGAGGAGAGGAGAGGAGAGGAGAGGAGAGGAGAGGAGAGGAGAAGAGAGGAGAAGAGAGGAGAAGAGAAGAAAAGGTGGGAGTAGAGAAATGAATGCATCATGGACAGCAAACAAGATTCAGTTATATTGCTTATTTTCGACTTTCCATATTGATTAAATTATATTGGGGTTGAGGAAAAAATAAGGGTGCACAAAATATTCTGAGTTTAGAATAGCTGCTCTGAGTGTTTGGAGCCTGTTCATCAAGCACCCTGTATATTTGTTTTGTCAAAAAACTTGGGACCAAACAAAAAATTCCTTTCTTCGTTGTTCTGAATATTCTGCCCAAATGAACAACAGGAATTCAAAACAAGTTTTGATCCTCAGGTTTCAACGTAAGAACATGAGCGAATTGATTATCAACACTGAATGGTGCTCATTACCCAACCTACAGCAAAGCTAAAGAAAGGGGATGTTTTAATAAAATAAATAAAAATCCTATGCCATAAACAAAGTGACAATGTAATGCCAATCAATGTGTTTTGCAGTCCTTCCACTTGTTTACTTGCTAGCTTGCTAATTTATTGAGATAAGGAGCACTCAGCATGGAATACCATCCCACCTACATGTGCGGTCCCAGGATAATGAAGAAATAAGGAATTGTTGTAAGCTCCCATCAGTCCCTATATCTAAATAATCAACATGTTTTAAGTTCTATCCTATTGGAACAAAACCCACTTGAAAAGTTTTGAACACTGTTTGTGTGTTTAAGTATTTAGTCTATTTTGAAAGCCAAGTTCAAACGGTGATGTTATGTGTGCTTGGCTGAGCCCCCGATAGCCGAGTTAATATTAGATGACAGATTAATACGAAAGTTGCATAAAGGTGATCATTTTGTGCCTGGCCAAAATGACTAAGCCTATCTCATAAATAAGGCCAACCAGATCATGGCTTATGTGTGCACTGTGTGTGCAGAAGTGTGTGCTGTGTGCTGTAAGTCAGGAACCTCAGCTAAGTTTGACCTTATTACCTCTTCACAGGATTCACATACTGCATTCGGGGTTGCTTTTTTTATCATGGTTTATAACTATATTCAAAATGTCTGGCTTTCCACATTAGCCTAACTGTAATCAATAATTTAAAATTTGAAATGGCTATGTTCTCCCAAATATGAAGCCAAAACCAAGCATCATAAAAAACTTAGGACAACAGTTGGTTTAATAAATTGGCTGGGTTTACACATGGACTAAGAAATAAATCATAGTATATAAACCATTGCGACTGGTTTCATTCAACATACATGAAGACCAAAGAACCTCAGTCACAATCTAAGTCAAAGTCTGAATGTCATCTCTTCTCCTTTGCTGTCAGCTCTACCTTTGAGAGCACACATAAAAATGAGAGAAGACGCCTGCTATTCTTTGAAGGTTAGGAAAATTGATTGATTATAATGGGAATGTTCAGTAATCACCAAATATGCAACTAGCAGCACAGTCATAACCACAATATGTGTGTAGGTTGAAGGCCTGGTATAAGGCTTCTATTGACAACACACAATTCTTACAGATCTACACACTTTAATGCTTAACATCCAAGGTTCTGTGAGCTGCCAGGAGTTGGTGAGAGACTGAGACATTCATGTTTTCCCATTCTCGTCACATGGATGTAATGTGGGCACGGGGAGAACTAGGGAGAAGTCAAAGGAAGACCAGAAGGGCTGGCTTTGAAGGGCTGAAAGAGAAAAAAAATATGCAAATTTTTCCACCCTAAGGACAATCCTCAGTCTTTGATGGGGCTGGACAACTGCAAACGTTGCAGGATTTAAATCTGGGTGGATCACTGGGACCAAAGATTTAGTCTTCTGAGCTTCTGGACTCATGAAGTTCCTTAAGGAACTTCTCTCTCACCAGAATATGAGAGAGACTACATATCTTTTCATCCACATTTAAATGGAGTTAGAATTAAATACAATTCAAACAAATCCCCAATTATGCATTGATAGGATATTACAACAGCATACTGTCATCTCTTCCTGTTTTTTTAAAAGAAATTTGGTAATTTTCTGAAGTATCAGGCCATCTTTAAGAACTTGTGGGGAGTACACTCAATCCTAGGTATTCAAGACACACAATTCTGTTTTACCCTCTCAACCTGTAGTGTAAGATTGAACTTTTGTGCACCTACAGCTGTTCTACTTTGTCTCTTCTCTTCTCAAACACAGCCCACACTCACTCACCATGATCTGGACTTGCCCATTCTTGCATGAATCTGGTGAGTTCTCATTTTCGTCACTTTTACACACTCCAATCTGGCATTTCACCACATCCTGGACCTGCAGGAGACAGACAGATAATTTGAGCCCAAGTCAATATTCTTCCTCCACTACCTATTTTTCATATTTCCATTCTGGAAGATAAAATCAGGCACATTTCCCTAGTTAACCCTACACAGCACCTTTGTCCAACTTCTATGGAAAAGAGGAAAGGAAGTGGAAAGGGGTGTTGATGGCTTACAAAGAGATTTCCTGGTCTGGGGTTCAAAAGAGAGCAGCCAGCTGACCTTTGCAGGATACCAGACTGTTTTCTTATTCCCCTAACACAAAGAAGTCAATGTATGAAGGGAACGTGGGGATCTGCAAAAGGATCCAACTCCTGTGTCTCCCTCTGGTTGAGCTTGGGAAGGGACCAGGTTTCCCAGCCTGGTAAATTTTGTTAATTAAGCCTTCAGAGATATAGGAAAAATGACCAATGTCACCAGCCCAATTATTGGTTAGAGGGATTGCAAGAATAGAATGGATGCATTCAGCCACCCATTTTCCCCTTGTGAAAAACTAGCTTTTCTAGAAGATAAAAAGAATCCATAAACCCCTAGAAGACATCTATTTCCCTCCCCCACCAAATAATCCAAGAATTGGGCTGAATGTGTTGTTTTCATCTACGCTAAAGGGATGGGGAAAACTAGAGGACAGCTGGCTGGTCATGGATTTTCCTAGAACTAGCAGAAGGGAAATATTTTGCTTCAGACAGCTGGACACCATTTTTATTATCCTTTAAAAATTCAGACTCTCTCTGGCAATGAACTCCAATGTATGTCAATTGTTTCAATTTGGTTTAGCACCCAGATGTCAGTCGTCACATATCCAAGTGACCAAGTTGGTTCAAGCCTACAGCTGTGCAACATTTCTTCTTTCTGACCAGGGAATGAGGAGAGTAGGGAGCAGCTGGTTGCAATGGGCATTGTCCTCATCACATTCCTGGACTGAAGCTTTATGACAGTGTTTTTCAACCTTGGTAACTTTAAGATGTGTGGACTTCAATTCCCAGAAGTCCCAGCCAGCATGCAGTCCACATATCTTAAGGCATGATGATTGGGGTATATTGAATTGCAAAAGCTGAGAAATATTGCTTTATGACTCACACTAAGAGAAACAGGATATTGGAAAAAAGGATTCCAGCCTTCAGAGCCAAGATAAATGAAATAAGGAAGAAATAGTATACAGATCAAAGGACAGGAGAGTCCACCTTCTTTTATGTACCTGATGGCCATTAACTAGACTGACTGGTGGAGAATTTGAGCAAAGGATGGGGGCTCTTGAAAGTTATTCAAGCCATCACCTGCATTGTTTTCTAGAGGGTCTCTTTCAACTGGATAGAAGAGAAATCACTATCATATTTTCTTTCATTCAAAAAGATAACTCAGTAATATTCCTAGAAAATAATTAAGTTATGAATTGGCCAAGGGCAACATGCAACTGTCTTGTCCTGCACTCTAACAAGCCATTTTTCCTGGCTTCCCATTCTTCCATTCAGGATGGATTTCCCTGCTTGGACTTTTTCAGGGGCAGTGTGATGGTCACTGCTAAAGGAGATCCCAATCCTTGAGTTTGCCAAAATATGTAACCAAATTTGCCTGCTTCAAATGTGTCAGGGAATATTGAAAAGCCAACGGTATTTAGCTCAATTGATTTCACTCTGTGGGATAGAGGTCCCCAACCCCCAGTCTGTGGACTGACACTGGGCCACAGCATGCTAGGAATTAGGCCACACAAACAAGGGAAGGCCATCCATGGGATGCAGGCAGCATGTGAAACCATGCCTCCTCCGGTCCATGGAATAACCTTTCTCCATGGAACTGGTCTTAGTTTTGAGAAAACGGGCTAAACAACCAGCTTAGGAAAATTACATGAATTGTCAGTGACTTGGGCTAGCCAACCCCATTCTCAGGTACACCCCAGGAGCATTTCCAGCCCCAATGAACACCCAGCAAGCTGAAAACTCTAAATGCCCACCTCTCTGCGCAGAAAGCAATGCACGGTGATGATGACGAAGCCCTGAACTGAGTTGAAGACGGCAAAGAGGACTTGAAAGAGGATGGAGCGCCGGTCAGTCATGGCAAGCACAGCCGACATCCAGGTGAGTGCTAGGAGGGGAAGAACCACACAGGAGCTCCACAGCGATGCCCTAGGAGATGGGAGGTGGGGAGCAGAGAAGGTGAGGGGGATAGGCCCAGCAATCATTCCCAGGGAATTGGAGAAGGAATATGGAATGCCTACAGGATGGCTGGATAAAGACCTTGGGACCATTTTGCTAAGCTCTGAAGCAGTTTGAATGGGAAGGCTGCTGCTGGTCAGCAGTTTAGCATTGGAGGATGAACAAGCACTAAAAGACAGCTCAAAGTGCTTTAGGTTTACCTCCCACTCCCCCGTCTCAACCTAGTGCTGTTAAGATATACAGCTTCCATGACACCACCCTATTTTATCTCAACTTCCTTTTATTTTATCTTACCACCAATTAAGCAATAATCAATACCCCAATCAATAAATTATATCAACCCAGATTGACAGTAAGCAATGCATAATCAAAGAACCACCAAGAACACTCCTACAACAATTGACAGAGCGAGCTACTTGTATATAAGCAGAGAACCCCACTCCTTTCTAGCATTGATGATGTTACGTAGTTGGATAAAGAAACATCTGCAAGAAAAAACCAAGCTCAGAGAGCATTATGGGCCCCACTGAGTTATCTTTCAAAATTCTATTTCAGTGTGATTGATGCTTCTTGTTAATGATATGGTCTTGAAGATGACTGGAACAGAAGTTCAACAAATCCAGGAGGCAACAGGGTGAATATGCTTGAGAAATGTCGTCAGTCTCTGCAGTCAGCGTGAGATTATACTCTGCATGAACCCAGAGTTTTAGGTTTCCAGGGTTGAACAGTGGTATGAAATGAAGGGTCCCCATTTTTATGAGAGGTTCTTGAAGGAAGGAATTCAACAGCAAGATCCTGCTTCTAGCTTCTCATTCATTTCCTTTCACCTTTGTTAAGGCTTCCCTCCTTCAAGCATCCCTTGTCTCTGATCAAGTTATTCAAATCTGAGATGACCTACAAACTCACTACTTCTCTCATTGCCTTGAATTAGACTCTGTTTTGGGCAAAGGATTAGCTTGCTTCCTAAACTTCATGCCATTCCACAGAATCTGCAGAGAACTCAACTAGACACAGTGCATCACACAGTGGTCAACCAGCTGCCTTCAGAACATTCACAAATATGGCCAGGAGCTTGATGGCTGCTCCCACCATTGGTCTGTAATAGCTCAGCTATCTCTGATCCCAGAAGCACTAAAAAGCCGTGGATAATCTGACCTGGCATGAATCTGAACATCCACTTTTACAACCATACAATTTTGTTTGCTGACCCCTGGCCCCAAGGCCACAATTTAATTCTACATGGAGTGAAAAGGATGGTTCTAAATCCCCACAAAGTTCCTTCTAACAGATGGATCCTGAATTCCAGGACAAAATGCACCCTGCGTGATTTTATATGTAACTGTTATGACTTCCTTTCCCCCTACTTGCTCCAGGCTAAACAAATAACAAAAAAAGGAAAAAAACAATCCACACACATCTTAATGCTAGAATATTTCCACACTGAGTTCCTGCTGTCAAATTTTCCTGCATTTCAAAATGGCAGAGGCTCAACTGAGTTTTCTTTTGAGATGATGGCAACTATATATCTCAGCCAGACATGCAGTGAAACTGGGCTTCTATCAATAAATGCTAAAATGCCCCTTGTTGAGATCTATTCATCCCATCTAGATTGCAAACCTGACCAGTTTTGGAATGGGGTGGAAGTTGATTTGAGAAGAATCTAAAAAAGAAAAAAACCCTTTTAATGTCCCTGTTCAACTCCACACTCAACTCTCTTCATCTTTTCCAGGAGGATTGAAAAAGATTCATTGGTTTCTCCAGATGTAATGGCCTGCATCACAGCCTCTCCTCTCTGTCCTCCCTTGCATGCATTAAAAGCAAAGGAGAGAGAGAGAGAGAGAGAGATGGGGGTAAAAATAAGCAGTCAGTAGTTCATGCATGTGATTAATTAGCTCTGTCTTTTAATTCCACCATCCTTGCTTGGCTGTTAAGTGCTTGTTAAAAGAAATGCAAGGAAACACAGTGCCCATTTCCAGCCACATAGCTGGGTGAAAACATGGTGAAGGAAAAGCGAGCAGTTCTCAAGGAGGGCAGATTGCCAGTTTACTAAAGGGAATCAGATTTGTTTTCTTCCAAGGATCTTCTCAATTTCTCCGAGGAGGAGATCCGAGTCGCTGAAAGTCTGCATTTATTGCATCACCAAAGTCTCCCGCAGAAGCTTTGCTAAAACAAACAAGAGCTGCCAGCAGGGCACAGCTGAACTTTGGGCCATCTCAATCTGTACAGGAGGCCACAGAGTTGGCTAGGGCTAATTTGGGAGGCCACAAGCAGTTGTCACTTTGCAGGAGAAATGGGGATAAAAAGTTTCCCAGGCCTTGGGCTGCTGGGGTGACTTCCTTCAGCTTGCTGCTTTCTGCCAAAAGAATTGCCATCGCAAGCGACTCACACATGCCTACGTCTTCCAGAGCACCTTTTCAGCAAGAGGGGCTTTTAAAAATTTGCCTTAAAAAATGAAACTCCTCTTAAACATCCCTTGCCGGCTCCCTGGATGCTGAAGGAAAAATAGTTGGGAGCAGAAGGTAGCTCAGTGCATTTGCTGAAGGGCAGGAATGTCCCCAGAATACAGGTAGTCTTCGACTTACAACCCTTACAAAGTCACAATTGGCAATGACAAAAGTGACTTACAACTGGTACCTGCACTTATGACTGCCACAGCATCCCCATGGTCACATGATCAACATTTGGGTGTAGGACAATCAGCATGTGTTTGCAAAGTTTGCAGAGTTTGCAACTTTCCCAGGCATCTGCTGACAAGCAAAATCAATGGAGCAAGCTAGCTGTGATATCCCAGGTGTCTTCTGACAAACAAAATCAATGGAGCAAGCTGGCTGTGATAACCCAGGGTGGGATACAAAATAAACACAGTCCACAAAAACAAGTGAAGCCCCTTTTATTCCTTCACTTTGCTTCAAAGCTCCAAATATCCTTGAATGGAGACAACACCGCCCCCCCACAAAGCAGTTACAAAAAGGAGGAAATGCTGTTTAACCTAAAAATGCCTATAAATTGTAAGAGTAAAAACAACACAAACCACACTGAAGCAATTAAGGGAATCAGGCAAGATAAGGGCTTGAAGATGTCCACAGATATCGGAACTCACCCTGGGAAGGATGCCAAACTCAGCGAGGAACGACAGACTAGAGATATTTCCACGCTTTGTTTTCAGCACTGGCCCATATGCATGTCCGTCCTTTTAACCAGTTCTCACAGCTGCAGCCCATGACGAGGATCAAGGCTCTTTCCTTCCCCACAGACCATGCCATTCATGTCTCTCCCTTATTCTCTCTTCCCTGCATGCCCTAGGATGGAGAAGGGATAGGCCTGGGTCTTCCTCTGACTGCCCAGCCAGCCTCTGCCCTTCCCCAGCCTCCTCCACAACCTCCGGAGCCACACCTCCACTCCCTGTTAGCTGTTCCTCCTCTCCCTTGGAGTCAGTCTCCATCAGGGGCATGACACTGGCTTTACTTAATGACTGCATTAAGTCACTTAAAAGCTGCAGTGATTCGCTTAAAACTGTGGCAAAAAAAATAAATGGTAAAATTGGCTCCGACTCACTGAACCACCATACTTAGCAACAGAAATTCTCATCCCGATTTGGGTCACAAGTTGAGGGCTACCTGTATTGCAAAAAGCAAGGGCGAGAGTTCACATTCACAATCCTGGCTGATGGCGAAGGTGCTTTTTCCGCCACGTGAGCCAGCCCACTTGTGCAATCTAAGTCCTCTGACATCGGTCCACACCACCACTAGGATGCTTTGTATGGGAAGTGCTGATTTGCTGCTCATCTTCTGTTTCTTTTCCTCACACTGCATAACTAAGCAGATTTGAATTTTGGAGTGTTCATTATGCTGGAGGCTTTTCAAGTGCTCAGTATGAGCTCTGAACAAATCCAATTTAACTGTTGTCCTCCCACTTTCCCTGCCCCTCCCTCCCTCCTTCCCGCCCAAAAGGAAATGGCTTAGTTTGCAGAAAGGATCAGCGGGAACAAAACTTCTTTTCCTGCAGCAGAACATCATCTCATACGTGAGAATTAGTAAATAAACCCCTCCAACCACAAACAAGATTAATACATTAAAAGAATCGAGTGAGATTAGGAGTATTTTACAAGAAGAGTTTTACATTCTCCTGTCCATAGTAGAATACCCTATGCTACTAGGTCTAAAATTCTTGGTTTGGATAATTTAGAACTAACGTTTGTAGTTAGACTTAGGAATTGTATACAAAATTGTAGATAGTAACGTTTTATTGGTGAATGAGTTTTTTTCGTTTCAGTTGTTAATGTAACGCATGCAAATAATTGTTTGAAACTTAATGTAAACCATTCCAAACTTGATTGTAAAAAATCCATTTTTTGTAACAGAATGATCAAAGTCTGGAATATTTTACCCGATTCAGTTGCCTCAGCCACTAACTTTTATAGTTTTAATTCCAACTTAATTTCAGTGGATCTCACCCCTCTGGGAGAGAGAGAGTAAATGCCCTAGTGTGCCTATTGCTCTTGTCATACTTTAATTTTTTTTGTTTTGCTCATTTGAATTTGTAATGTTCTTTTGATAAATAAGTATATGAAGATAATAACAAATCTGACCATTGCAAAAACAAATGATAGTGAGACACACTTTGCCTAGGATGAGGCAACATCAGATCCCAAGGTCTGTGTTTGAGCTTTTTGTTTTGGAGACCTGGAGAAGTTACTCTTTGGAAGGCTGGTCTGCTTCACAAATCCACCTGTCAATTTCTTTCTCTTAGGATACAAGTCATCAGTAAACAGATCACTCCCAGCCTCATAACAAAATGTTTCTGAAAATAAGGGAAAGGTTCGCATTTTCATGGGCTGCCTCTGCAGAATCTCAGCCTTCCAACGGATTCCAAGTGGCTAGGACAAATTTCCTCCCAGTTGAGGGTTTCATCATTGGTCATTCTGGAGTACCTCCCAACAATTCCAAGCTAACATCTACACATGGAATTGACAGGGCATAAGCGACATCACATGTGCTCCTGGGAGAGTTGTGTCTCACAGTCTATGAGAAATAAGAGAAAAGCAATTCTGAAGACTGTACAGAGCACAGATGGAAGCACGCCAACTAGTTTGAAAGGGGGAGTGGGGGCAAGCGATCTGTTACGTAGGACAGGAAGGAACACGAACATCAAGAAGGTTTGAACTTTGGTTTTATAAATAGGACTAGTTACTGAATGCCAGCTGGTGCCAACCTTCTTTTGATTTATTCTTTCTAACTTTTTCTTCAATAAATGTTATTTGTTCTTAGCTCTAGGTTTTGGTTTTTTTTTCATGAAAGTATCAATGTGACATCATGGCAGCAAACCGGAAGTCATTCAGTGGGACATTTCCATCAAGGAGGGCCTCCAATGTTTGCCAGAAATTGACAATTACTTCCTGTTCTGGGCAGGAAGCCCATGGCGAACAACTGGTTGGTTTTACAATTGCAGCATTCGCTCTATGACCACTGCAAAAAAACAGTTGTAAGAATGGATGGTGATCCTGTTTACAATCATAATGGGCAGTGGAGGACTACCTGCATTCAAAAAAAAAAAAACTTCAAAGTTTTCAAAGGTATATTACCTGCAAGAGTTAAGAAAAAAATTGCATTGCATTTTCTATCTCTACATAGGCACACATAAAAGATATGCTAAATATATTGATCTCCCGCTGCCAAGCACAATTCTATTCTAGACTTAATATAATAAATCTTAATCCAGCCCCCAAGCTTAAAATGTCTAATTCCTGGTGTTCATAAATACCAACTACTGGGGACATACCCGAAAAGGACATATGCTTCTTTAACATGCAGCAATCAATGCTGTCTATTGACTATCCTCTTGATTTTAGCCCCATATTTGGAGATAATAGGACAAGATGTGCTAAGTATATTGATTTTTCACTGTCAGGCATAGTTCTACCCTACAGAAGCCACTGAATTTTACCTAAATCAAAAATACAAACTGACTTCCAAGAATCCTCTTAGGAATACATTTGTCAAAGTGTCACTGACGGCTAAAAATATTATTTTCATTAATACAAGCATTTCAAAAAGCGGAACAAAGGCTTGGAGGCATTGGAGAAGGCCTCGGACCCCAACAAGCTGCTACCAGAATTCAGCTGAAATGAAATTTTATAAGGAATTTATTTTGGGGGAGGGGCAGATTTCTACTCAGTCTGATTTCTACTCAGCCCAATTGTTTTTGTGTACAGGCAATCCTCGACTTATAACCATTCGTTTTATGACTACTTGAAGCTACAATAGGGCTGAAAAAAGTGACTTACAACCAGTTGTTGCACTTACAACCATTGCAGCATTCTCCATGGTCATGTGGCCAAAATTTGGGGCAACTGGCATCTTTTTTATAATTGCAACTTGCTAGATCATGCGATTGCCATTTGTGACCTTCCAACTAGTTTCCGACAAGTAAAGTCAACTGGGAAGCTGAACTCACTTAACAACCATGATTCACTCCACATCTGCAATGATTCCCTTAACAGCCAGAAAAAGATAATAAAACTGAGCAGAACTCACTTGTCTTGCTGAACAATGGAAATTCTTGAGGACTGCCTATGTATGGTTCCCCAGATATGCTGGAAGAATCCAATTCAAGGGAGTGCATAAAATACTCTTCTATTCTACTCCCTCCTCCTCTTCCTTTTTCTTTTTCTCTCTCTTGGTGTCTTCACTTGGTTAGGCAAGAGAGGGTGGGAGGAAACATGTCTGCTACTGGCAATCCAAGATGGAAGCTGGCCAACTTGCTTAAAAGTGCATCCCTATCTCCATGGGTCGCTGTTGAGACCCCCACAGAGACTTACCCGGCTCGCTGCTTTTTGGACTTATCTGAAATGCCATCTCGAGACATCAGCTTGTTAAATACGATGATCCCAATCAGCATGTTGACCTGGATAGGAGAGAAATTTGTGATAAGCAGTGCTCAGGAACTCTTTCATGGTTTGGTCTAAATTTGCAGGGGTGTCCAATTAGGGCAGCTTTAAGGTCTGTGGAATTCAGCTCCCAGAATTCCCCAGCTATCTATTGGGAATTGAAGTCTACGGGTCTTCAAGTTGCTAAACTTGGACACCCTGGCTCTAAAATATACAAGTGATGATTAAGTGACCGTAACGACATAAACGCCCAAACTCCACAATAAAGGGAAATCAGCATACCAAATGTTAAAAAGGCATGTTCATTCCATTTGGGTTTGTTTCCTGACATTGTTTTTAAACAAGAATATCAGTGAACTTCACCATTCTTCTTATGCTTTCTGAATAATCAGGAAGGCAAGATATATGTGTGAATATCTTGCTTTTCATTAAACCATTATCTTTCTTGCTGTCTGCAGTCTTTGTGGCTTCATCATTTAGTAAGGAAATACAATATGTATTTATTTATATTTATTTATTAAATTTATATGATGCTTATCTCAATAAGTTGACTCTGAGGAACTCATTGCAGGAAGCTCTCCCCTGCACCTCTAATAACAAAGTAATTAAAAAGAAGTTTAACAAGAAATTCTAATTAAATTCTTAAGAACTTAGAGAGGAAGGGAGGGAGGGAGGGAGGAAAGAAGGAAGGATTTTCACAGGGAAGTAAACTTGTTAACTAGAACAGCTGGATTTAGTTATATTAATGTTGGATTTTATATCTTGATTCTCATTAATTTTTACTACACATTTTATCACTCTTTTAAGATGTTATCCGTATTGGGAATACCGCAGCCCTTTTCAAACAGTTTGTAACTTTATCTCAAAAGAAGTTTTATTGCAAAAGCAGATTAAGCTAGAGAAGTGCAATGTTCAGTGAGATCCTGGTTAAATGAGACATAAGGCTAAGCAGGGGTGGGATGCTACCAGTTCGGCCCAGTTCTATAGAACTGGTAGCTGCGAAGAGCAGCTGACACCAAACCAGTTTGGTGTTTGGCCCAACTGCCTGCCTGGGCTGTCTGTTATTCCCTGCTTTTTCCTCCTAAGTTTCTTTGCAAGACACAGCTGAAGTTGAAAAAGCAGGAAACAAGAGGATTTTCAAACGCTGCGCACCCTTTTTTCCAATATCCTATATATATATATTTTTGCTTTCTAGCTAATCTAAAAGCAGAGCCGAATCTTAGAACTGAAGCTTCTACTTTTCAGTGCACTCAGGTAGCCGATTGCAGATAGATAGATCTCTAAGTGAATCTGTGATTCTGTGAGCAACTCAATCTGCCTGCCTGCTTTGCCTGCTTTGCCTGCTTTGGGGTAAAAGTTGCTCTTTTTTAATAAAAAAATCAATATTTACATCAATATTTATAATATTTACATGCAAGCCATGACCAGCCAGTCACATGACCACCAAGCCATACCCACAAATTAGGCCATACCCACAGAACTGGTTATTAAAAAACTTAAATCCCACCCCTGGGACTAAGGTATGTTTGAGTTTGGTCTGTTGAATAAGCACCAGTAATAAGGGTTCATATGGCACATTGGATAATTTAGAAGCAAATTATCTGCACTCTGTCTGTGTCTAATAGCCTTGATCACAGTTTCCAGGGATGGAAATAAAAACAGAAGGCTCCTCTCCTTTGGAATCCAATTTGGACAAAGCCTATGATTTAGTAAGCATACCGTATCTTTTTTCTCTCAAAAGCTGAGGAAGTGGGACAAATTCCACTCTTTAGCGTGCCTGGCTCTTCATGCAATTTTGGGTGGCCACTCCAAGGAGGGCTATTTTTCCTTTACCAATCCAAATAGTTCTTCTTATTCCTCACAAGAACCCAGCACCAGTGTGAAAAGTTAGGGATATCATCAAGAGTGGGTTGAATAATTGGACTTCAAGCTCCTCCCCTCCCCTCCCCTCCCCTCCCCTTACTATATTCCACAGCTGTGATGGGTTGCAGAATTTTGGGGCACAGATGGATAATTTTTTCCATCAACTCAAGTGGTTTTAAGTGAGCCTTTATAGGTTCTTGACTGTTCACAACAGGGTCAATGAAAGGGAAATCCCACCCATGGAAAAGAATGAGAGCAGCCCAAGTCAGATCATTGGCATCCCAGAAAAGTATCTGAGTTCTTACCAGAACAATCACAGCAGCAGGACCAACAAAGGCATACAACAATCCTCCTTCAAGGGACAGCCAGCAGCTGGAGAGAAAAGAAAAAAAAATCACTATTTCAAAACTAAACAAGAGCAGGAACAAGCATTCAAAGAATTATCTTATCTGATGCCTTACCATGTGACCAACCCATCTTGCCTTAGTCCCATCTCCACTAAAGAAGGGATCCATCTCCCTGTATCTTTAATGGTGAGTCTTGGAATGACCAAAAAGGGTGATCAAAAGACCCATGGATGGCATCTAAAAAACTGCCTGGCTAGGTTATAAAAAAATGAAGATGGAGGCAATAAGTAATCACTCCAGTGCAAAGATATGACTGGGTGTTATTTAAAATCGAAAAGAGAAAATGAGGCTCACTGGACATTGACCTGCAAGGTGACCTCCCATTTCTCCAATCATCAACAGATGATATTTGATTTGGGGTGCTTTCCCATATGAATCTCGTGTACCTGGAAGTCCCTCCTCACCCTCACCTTCATGGAACTAACAAGCAATGGCAGTGGCGCTAACTATTCAATACTGCATTAATTTCTAATTTGCCCCCCTCCCCAATTCTTCTATCCCGATGAAACCTACTAGCTGGCTGTTCCATATCCTTTGGTCCGAGTGAAGCCAACTGAAACTGCAACTACCAAGGCTGGCAGACCTGGGCAGGATGGAAATAGACATAAAGTGTTTTAGGACATTGCAAGACTGCCCAAGAAATGGTGAGAATTTTCAGGGGACAGTGCTGAAATCTTAAAAGATTTTTGCAAAGAACAAGGAGATGTCATGAAGTGGTAAGAGTTCACTATGTATGTGCATATGGATAATGTGCACACACAAATACACACACAGAGGGAGGGAGGGAGAGATGGAATGTCTAGAAGATTCTGGGAATAGGGAGGACAGAGAAGGCTAAGTATGGGAGTGGGATCCATACAGAAAAGTTTGCTTTGCCCAAGAAAGAGGGAAGTGTGAGAACGAAACTCAAGGTAAATCTGCCTTAATTAAGTATTAGCTGATCTGGGAATTGCTTAGGCAGCCTTTAAAGTTATATTTTGAAATAGAATCTCTTTCAAAAGATAGAAATAGGAGAGTTTCTACTTTTTTTTAGCAATGAAGATCATTTCGCAAATCCAAGGGGTTCTTGTCTCCTGAGTTTGCTAACCTTGAAGGGCTTGACAACATGAGTGCTTACATTTGAAAATGTTGTGTCCCCCCCACCCCCTCTCCCTCCCTCCCCCCTCCCCAGTCAAACAGGTTACAGGAGGAAGTATCTTAGTTAATTATCAGGAGACACCTTTTAATGATAGAACAGTTTGCTAGTTTAACCAGTCAAAGGGTGGCAGTTGGAGATCTTGAAGCAGAGGCAAGCGGTACTTTGTCACTCTAATTCTGGATTTCCTAACTTTCTAAAGAGGATCTTAAATTTGCCTCATTTTCAGGGTTTACACAAATCGCAGATCCCAAAGCTAAGCTGGGTCTTGATTCACATAACACACTAAATCATCCCAAAATAAACTATGGTTAACACCAACTAAGCTTAGCCTATTGCAAGAATGCAGCTGCTATGCCTTTCGCTGATCTGGTTAATTGCACTGTGCAAATTCAACCTTCCAGTGATGAACCCAGGGCAATCAGGCCACTCAGAGCCACTTGAGCCATGAGATGGGTGGCAAATAAATTTGATACATAAAATAACAATAAAATAAAATTCTAAATCTGAGTGAGAATTTCTCTCTTACCCCATCCAAGGCAGAGGAAGCGTTTACGAACTAGCCGAGTTCGGATTCTGCCAATCACAGCCAAGTAAGATTGCCAAGCCTCGGTCAGCACCCAACAGAAGGAAGAGAGGAAGAAGAAATGGAGGAAGGCAGCTGTCATGGTGCAGATGCCCTGGAGGAGGAAGAAAACATGAGTCATCTGGATGAAGAGGACGAGAGCCTTTGTCATAAATGGCACTCACTCACAGGTTTTTCTTCCTAATCACGAGAACAGCAAAACGACAAAGCAAAGTATATAAAAGGTATAGCTTGCATTGGGTTGTGATGGTATTGCAACACACATTTTGCCACCCATTCCTCTTGACTTTCCTGAAAGCCCTATGCATGTCCTACAAAATGCACATCTTGTGATGACCCGGGGCATGACACAAAAGCAACAAAGTCACAAAGTAGGTGAAGTCCCTTTAATATCTCCAACTTGGCCCCCAATGTCCAGTTATCTCCAGCTGAAGAAAAAAACTCCCCCAAGAACAGTTTTTAAAGGGAAGAAATTCAGTCCGAACCGAAAGTACATATAAATTATAAATAAAAACCAACACAAACCACAACTGCAGCAATTAACGAGACAGGGCAGGATAAGGAATTGAAGACTTCAAAAGATAACAAAATACACACAGTTGGGAGGACTCGGGAACCCAGATAAGACTTGACAAACAAAGATAATTCATGCTTTGCTTCCAGCAAGGTACTATGTGCAAACGCCCTTTTAAAATCCTGTTTTCCCAGCTGCAGCTAATGAAGGGAATTGGGGCCCTTTTCTCCCCCATAACCCATGTTGCTCCCTTATCCGTTCCTCCCTGCGTGCCCTAGGATGAAGAGGGGGTGGGCCTGGGTCTTCCTCTGAATGCCTAGCCGGACTGTGCCCTTCCCCAGTTTCATCCACAGCCACCGGAGCCACACTCCCACTTTCTGTCAGCTGCTCACCCTCCCCCTAGTAATCTGATTCCAACAGGGGCATGACACATCTTGCCATTGGAGGAAGTCTATTTAATAACAATAATAGCAACAATGCTATTCATACTGATGATATCAACTAGTCCTTGATTTATGACCATACTGGAGCCTGCCTATTATGGTCATAAGTCATGATGGTTGTAAAATATATCACCTACAAGACCAATCCAATTCTATGACTTTTTATTTTGCAGACATTGTTAAGTGAACCAATTGCTTACAACAGGCTGGATTTCCCCAAAACTGAAAGCAAATGTCTTTTTCTTTTTCAAAAATGTCATGAAATGCTATCACATGACCACAGGGATGCTGCAAATGGCCATAAATGAAGGCTAGTTTCCAACTACCCACAATTAAGTCATATGACTGCAGGTGGTTTCTTTTCCAGAATGGAGTCATAAGTACCCATAGGGAGGTCCATTGCAACTTTGAACGATCCCTAAGTGACCAGTCATAAGTTGAGGACTTGGTATACAGCTCATTTTATACATTTAATGCAGTGCACGTCTATGGTGCAGTATTGACCATCCTGTAAGACATTTTTTTCCTAACTGGCTGGCCTATTTTCTAACTAGTTAGCAAAGGCCAACCTTGAGTTTACAGTCAAGTCTTCATTTCTAAGCCAGGAACTTCCTGTCTCAAGCTTACCATCTATTTAGCTTCCTGCAACCCCAGTCAATTCCCAGTTGATGTTCATGTTATGAGGGAGTTCTGGCAAGTGCAGCTGCAAACATCTGGAGGACAACATACTACAAGGAAGGCTTCTGTACATTGGGGGCAATGCATCTTTCCTCTGTGAAATCATGTGCTCCATCTGATAAACCTTGTCTTAATATTTTATATAGAAGAACACTTCTATCACACATGAAGCTGCAGGGTTTTATACAGCAATGACCTGGGCAATGTTTTTTTTTTTTTTCAGTTTTCACTCACTCGGTATTTGTTACTCTAGCTACATTTTTTCTGCTTGTTTTTGATCTCAGATTGTAATTAAAAGCAAGGTCTCTCCCTCGTCCACAACTTCATCATTATTTGAGCAGCAGAGCTGTGACATCATCTAGAACCAAGGTTCTGAACCTATGGTCCGCAGACCCCTGCAGGGCTGGGATGTCATCCCAGGGGGATTGCGAAGGCTTGAATAAATATCGCAATTTAAATTGAGTTAAGTCTTGGTGATCGGTGGTCATGGTCCATGGCCACAAAATACCTTTTGTGACCATATTATGTGTTGGTATAATCTGCGGTGGTGCAGTGGTTATAATGCAGTATTGCAGGCTACTTCTGCTGATTGCAGGCTGAGTGCAATTTGGCAGTTCGATTCTGACCAGCTAAAGGTTGACTCAGCCTTCCATCCTTCCAAGATGGGTAAAATGAGGACCCAGATTGTTGGGGGCAATAGGCTGACTCTGTAAACCACTTAGAGAGTGTAAAGCGCTGTGAAGCAGTATATAAGTCTAAATGCTATTGCTATTTAAAAAGGATCCATGGTGAAGAAAAGGTTGAGAACCACTGATCTAGAAAATCAAATAAATGAATCACTGCAGTAGTAACTGAGTGGGTTGAAACAGCCACTGAAGTCACTGAAGCTGATGGGCACTGAAAGCAAAAGGCAGGAAGGAAAATGGATTAGAGGATGACAAGAAAATAAAAGCTGTTTTATAAACTTCTGCAATTGGAAGCTGTGTCCCTGGCACTCCTTAAAGAGGAAGACCAAGTGAGAGAGTTTGTTCCTACAATGCACAAGAACTCTGGGCATTGTTAAAATGGTTTCTTGCACCATGTATATATAGAACTCCTGAAGCATGATGCTGAGCTCTAGCTGTTGTTTGTTTGCAGATTGACATTTATTGAATTTAAGAGCAGGCCCTAGAGACACCATTGAGCTGAATTTCAAACCTCAGAAACAATCTACCCTATTTTCCCTTGCAGGTTGCACAATGGCTGCTTTCCCAACTCCTCCCTCCTGCATCTCCTCTGGCTTTAATCAATCAATGCTTTGATTAGATTTATGGATAGATGGATAAAGTGGCAAAAGGACACATTGGGCTCAAATCCATGCTCTGGAAAAGGAGCTGAGCCCTCCCTCTTATTGCACATGAGAGGGACATAAAACGCATTCACCACACGTGTCCATTGAGGAAGTATGAAACCAAAGCTAAGGTAAGTTGGGATCATAAGCCTGGGAGATGTCCATTAGTCATGTGTTGAATCTTTCATGAAGCTCCCTGCTTCACTAGAGCAAGTTGGTCTCATGACCAACTTAGAGTCCAAGGAGGAAGACAAATAGAAAGAAAGCCTCAAAAGCAACAGAACCATTTTTTACACAGTTCCAGCGTCTATTATTTATTGCAATGCATGAATCCAAGCCACAGGTGTTGTTTCTCTGATAAATATAGGGATGAAGTAAGATTTCAGCTAGAAATGTCTTGCCTTCACTTTGTATCTTTATCTATTCTATGACAGGAGATCTCTTTGGTGGCATCAGAATGCGAAGATCTGGCCAAAATGTCTCACTGAATCAGCACAGAGAATCAAGTCCACATAAATGCCTATGGAATCCTTTCTCTCTCTTTCTTCTCTTGTCTGTCTTCCCATTCTCTCTCTCTTCTCTCCTTTCCTCTCCCCCCATCCCCACCCTCTGTGTGTGTGTGTGTGCCTTGCACTTATGCATCATTATCAGTGTCAGGAAACATTAAAGCTACACACACCTTGCTTCAAAAATGCACCAGAGGCTGGATGTAAATTGTTTTCCATTCTTCCACCATTCACCCACTTAATCAGCTATAAATGGAGTTTCGTAAAGAGACTGCAGCAATAGAATAGAACATCTCTCATCCTCAGAACACTTGTTTTATTTTATTTCATTTTTTTTTTGGCCTTTTTCTTCTCTTTTCAAAAAGATTCTTCAGGAATCTGAGAAGAAAGAATGGTTCTGCAGGCGGTCTATTTTGATGGGCCAAACTGGTAAAGTCTTTAAACACAGCTCTATAAAAGCCGTCATTCCACTACAGTACTTTTTGACACCAGCGAAACTCTCATTTACATACAACAGGGACAACAACCCGGAATAAGCAACCCTTTTGTCTGTTTCCAGCCCCTGTTCAAATGTGGTGATGTTTTCAATTTGACAGGAAATTCCTTAGCAAGAGAAATTTGGCCTTTCTAAGATCATTGCCAGTTGCTGTGGTGGTACACCTATTGCTTCTCTTGTGCTTACAATGGGCTTCTCTGATTCAAGAAAAAAAATGGACCCAGGCTATCTGAGGAACCATCTCATCCCAATGGGATTGATCTGCCGCACCATGCTGGCAGAAAGGGCTTGCTGTGGAACCTGACCATCAAGGAATTCTGGCTGGTGGAATCAAGGAGAGGAGCTTCTTTCTGCTATGGCTCCTGTCTTGGAACATGGTGCTCCTTGAGGTCCATATCCACCCTTATGGCCTTACAAAAGAGTCAGAAGATCTGGTTCTGCCAATTGGCCTGGGGCCCCAATGGAGGCACATCATTCTCAAAGGTGGCTTGTACATCCTTCTCCTTTCCTTCCCATTTTGTTAATTTTAAATCAACTTTAATTGTATTATTTATTGTTTTAAGGATTTAGGCTCTAGGTGATGGGGGCATCATATAAGTTTACTAACTAAATTGGTGTTGGAGAAGATTCTTGACAGCTCCTTGGATTGCAAGGAGATAAAATCAGTCAATCCTAAAGGAAATCAACCTTGACTATTCTTTAGAAGGAAAGATACTGGAGATAAAGCTTAAATACTTTGGTCACCAAATGAGAAGAGAGGACTCCTTGGAAAAGACCCTGATGTTGGGAAAGATGGAAGACTAAGCTGGCAGGAATGGCCAACACCCAAGAAGATGGGCTCAAGATTCAGACGGATCTTGACAGACTGAAACACTGGGCCCTATCTAACAAAATAAAATTCAATGTAGAGAAAAGTAAAGTCTTACACTTAAGCAAGAAAATGCAAAAGTACATATATAGACTGGGTGAAACCAGGCTTAATAGCAGTAACTATGAAAGGGATCTTGGAGTCTTAGTGGACAACCAGTAAAATATGAGCCAGCAGTGTGTGGCGGAAGCCAAAAAAGCCAGTGCAATCCTAACTTGCATTAAACAGAGGGATATACAATCAAGATCAAGCGAGGTACTAATACCATGCTATAAAGTCTTAGTAAGACCACACTAGAATACTGCATCCAGATTTGGCCACCACACTATAAAAAAGATGTTGAGGCTCTAGAAAAAGTACAGAAAAGAGCAACAAGGATGTTTAAGGGGACTGGAGACTAAAACATATGAAGAACAGTTACAGGAACTGGGCTTAGCTAGTCTAGTGAAGAGAAGGACCAGGGGAGACATGATAACAGTCTTCCAATATTTGAGGGGCTGCCACAGAGAAGAAGAGGTCAAGCTATTTTCCAAGGCACCCAAAGGACAGATAAGGAATAATGGATGGAAACTGATCAAGGAGAGATTTAACCTAGAAACAAGGAGAAATTTTCTGACAGTGAGAACAATCAACTGATGGAACAGCTTGCCTTTGGAAGTTGTGGGAGCACCATCACTTGAGACTTTCAAGAAGAGATTGGACTGTCATTTGTCTGAAATGGTGTAGAGTCTCCTGCTTGGGTGGGGGCTTGGACTAGATGACCTACAAGGTCCCTTCCAATTCTGTTAATCTAATTTAATCTAATACAAAAGGAGAAGGAGAAGGCAGAGGATGAGATGGTTAGATGGTGTTGTTGATGTAATGAATGTGAATTTGGGCAGATTCCAGGAGACAGTGGAGGAGAGGGGGACCTGGTGATGATGGTATGTTGAAAGAGCTACATTTTTGGTCTTTCTGTGTCAGATTAACCTGACAGTTATGAAGAAGAGTTGGTAGTTATGGTGTGCTCAAGCCCAAAATTATCACAGCAAATGGAAGGGAGGATTTTTTTTCTTCTCCCTATAGGTGAAACTCAGCAAAGTAGGGCTATTTATTGCACTGGGTGAACCCTTAACTTTTCCCTCCAGCTCTTAAGCCAAAGAGTTGTTGCAGTTTTCCAAATCCACGTGACCAAATGGAACAGAAATAAAAGCTGCAGAAAAAGTGTGCACATACTATTGCTGGTCCTAAAAGACCAAATTGATTGCACTAAAGAAGTTGGGCTGGAAATGTTGAGAGGAAAAGGAAAAAAAAAAAGTAGGATAAAGGGGTAGCCTTGATTCTCAGAAATGGGGGTTGACCTATTTAGCACAGTTAAAAAAAGTATGCATATATAATGGCATTTAGATTTGTGTTTTTTTCAAAAGGGTTTTGGAACACATAGGGACACTAGTACTGCAGCTCATTTGCAGCTCTTTTTGATTCTTTTTGAATTTTATATACAAAAAATTCCCTTCCTACACCTCCAATAGAGAAAAAAAAATGATTATATAGCAAAAAAAGAGTATCTAGATATTTTATAATGAGTAAAATGCACTAAACATGAAAAAAAACACAAAAAGCAAAAATACCAGAGAAAATAACTACACAGGAACTAAAACAGAAAGTTAATTAAACCCTTAAGCTTATCAAAAAATCTAGACCACATCAACATTTTTTTTTTCATTTTCAACACAGATGACTTTAAAAAACAGGTTAGTGAAGCCATAACCTGGATCTGCTAAAGAACCTATAAACTGTTTATAACATAATAAATCCAATATCAAAATGTACTCCCTGTTTAAGCATTCTTCAATAAGCACAAAATTGTATTTTCTGATGAATTAATTTCAATTTTTTAAAAAATATAAGAAGCCTATTTTAAATTTGTTAATACCTGGACCTATTGATTCTCCAAAATGCTGTATTCCAATTCTTCATTCTATAGTTTAGATCAAAATCAGCACTAACACGCACATGAACATTTATATAAAGCATTATGTATGTACATAATTATACTATAAATATCACTGCCTAAATTACAAGGCAAAATCTAGCACATTTTGAAAGCTAATTCATTCTAGGTTACAATTTGCTCTATTATTTTCTGCCTTTCCACCAAAAATAAAGGTGCCCAATAAGGAAAATCCATAAGAAACATCCTGAACCAGAGTACAATTAAACACAAAACTATGACAAAAGCCATCATATGTTCTCCTTTTTGGAAAGAAATGATTTTTCTCACCTTACTGAGCATCTGGGACTGTCCCACCAGGATCAACACATTGGAGGCCAAAATAGAGAGACAAAAATTCAGAAGAATGATGGAACGTTCAGATTTGATAAACCTAGAAAAAGAAAAGAGGAAGCCTTTTTGACACATCTGGACCTTGGAAGTTCACTTCTTTCTATCCAGGACATGGCTTATAAGTGCTACTAGACCAGGATCCATATGATTGTCTGGGATGCTATCCATCCTCTCAATGACCAGCTTTCTTCGTTATCTTCTGGGAGGAGGCTTTGTGCTGTCCGAAGGAGAACAACTAGATTCTGTAATAGGTTTATACCACATAGCATCAACCTTGTTAACTCTCAAGACTCTTTCTTCTGCTATGTATTCAAAATGGGCTGTGATTAAAATATGTGTGTGTGTGTGTGTGTGTGTGTGTGTGTGTGTAGTATATGTGTATGCATATGTATGGGTATGGGTATTTGTATATATTTCTTCTTTTGACAGCGGGCATCAGAATTTCATTTTAATGCGTGCCACTGTGAATATAGAAAAATGGCAATCCAGGTAGTCCTTGGCTTGCGACCACAATTGAGCCCAATATTTCTGTTGCTAAGTCAGTTGTTAAGTGAATCTTGCTCCATTTTATGATTTGTCTTAACAGATATCAGAGTTGGAAGGGACCTTGTAGGTCATCTAGTCCAACCCCCTGCCCAAGCAGGGGACCTTACACCATTTCTGACAGAGGGCAGTCCAGTCTCTTCTTGAAAGCCTCCAGTGATGAAGCTCCCACAACATCCGTGGGCAACTTCTGTTCCATTGGTTGATTGTTCTCACTGTCAGAAAATTTCTCCTTATTTCCAGGTTGAAATCTCTCCTTGTTCAGTTTTCCATCCATTATTCCTTGTTGTTATTTTTACCTTTATTGTCAGAGTACAACATGTGTACAATGAGATTGTCTGGCCTTCGGGTACCTTGGGAAATAGTTTGACCTCCTCTCTGTGGCAGCCCCTGAGATAGTGGAAGACTGCTATCATGTCTCCCCTGGTCCTTCTCTTCACTAGACTAGCCAGGCCCAGTTCCTGCAGCCTGTAAAAGTTCTTGGAACAGTTGTTCAGTGAATCACTGCAGCTGTTAAATTAGTAACACAGTTAAGTGAATCTGGCTTTCCCATTGATTTTGCTTGTCAAATATTCAGAAAAGGTGATCACACAACCTTGGGACACGACAACCATCATAAATATGAGTCAGTTGTCAAGCCTCTGAATATTGGTCACCTGACCCATGAGGATCCTGCAATGGTTGTCAGTGTGAAAAGGGTCATGTCACTTTTTTCAGCGTATTGTAACTTTGAACAGTAATTAAGTGAACTGTTGTAAGTTGAGGATTACCCTCATACGAGGATTATTGTATCTCATCTCATCTTAAACCTGGTTATCTCCCTGTTCATACAGGTGGTCTCCAGTTAATGAGGGCAATTTAGGCCAGTTGTAATGTGCGATGCCACATCACCACACCGCTTAGTTTTGGTATTTCTGGTCATCATTGTTTAGTGCAGTGGTTGACAATCAGTGGGCCAGGGACCACTGGTGGTCCATGAGAAAATTTTGGTGATCCGCAGAGAAATGTCACCCCCAAAACACCCCCCAAAGCAATTAATCCAGGCTGCATGGGAACACAAGGCTGCATCACCCACATGACCCACAGGAACACAAGGCTTGCATATCTTGCATTGCAAACAACATGAGGTAGTGAGGGGAACAGGAAAAGGGCGGAGGGTGGAAACTTGCCCCATTCGCCCCATGTGCCTCGCCTGGCCACTGGGCTACTTCTTTCTGCTTCTTTCTTCTTCTGCTTTTGGTGCACACAAGGAAAGCAGCAAGAGTCTTTCTTTCTTTCCTCCCAACTCCGCCAGAAATGAATCTTTGGGACCCTGCAAGGTATGACAAGTCTCACAAAGACTCATTTCTGGTGGAGTTTGGGCGAGATAAAGAAAGACTTCTGCTGCTTCTGCTGCTTTCCTTGCATGAAGCTAAAAGTCTCTCTCTTTCCCCCTGAGAATGGAGCTGGAGACGATATCCTGCGATCCAAAATTAAGTATAATCAATTTGTAGGAAAACGGGGTGGGGAAATTCCCTGCAGACTTTTTTGGGGGATTTTCTCAGGGTCTCTGGCCCAGGGGATTTAAAATTATGAGTTTGGTGGTCCCTGAGGTCCAAAAGGTTGGCGACCCCTGGTTTAGTATGTCTCACACCACTGTTAAGTGCACTGTCACATGGGCAGCATTTGTGATCTCTGTTCTGCTTCTCCATTGACATTGCTTGTTAGAAGCTGGGCTGCACATGACTGCAAGATGCTGTGGTGTCACAGTTACAAGCCACCAAGTAGCCATATCACAATCTTATGACTCTGGAGATGATGTGATGCAGAGCTGGTATTCAGCAGGTTCTCACCAGTTGTGGAAAACCGGTAGTGGAAATTTTGAGTAGTTCGGAGAACCAGCAAATACCACCCCTGACTGGAGATTTTACAATATCCTTCCCTTGCCACACCCACCAAGCCATGCCCACCGAACCGGTAGTAAAAATGTTTGAATCCCACCACTGATGTGATGGTTACAACTATGAAGACTGGTCATAAGCACTACTCAATTCCATGCCATCATGTTGAAATGATAGCTGATTAAGTAGCTACTAAGTGAATACCACCTCTATGGGTTTTGTAAGGTTAAAGTTGTGGGGGGTGGGGGGGGGATATTTTAAGTATTCATTGCCTGGTGTTCTTGGAAGATTTAACGTCACCCAACAATTGTATGTTCTTTTTTTAGAATTAGCAACACTCCTCCCACACCACAATCATGTATGGTGTTAATTCTATGGGTGGGTGGGTGCTCGTTCTGCAGCTGTTTTGTTTTTGAGGGTGGAAAGCTTTCACCAACTTGGGTGGAATTGTGGGACAAGTTCAGAGGAGAACATCCCCCCACAATGCTCAGATAATGCTTTAAGAGGGCCTCCGTGGGTAGGTCCCAAACTTTTATTTGATCTTCAGTAATTGTTACATCTGCAGGAATTTTCTTGATCCAAAGTGTGGAATAGATTCACACTTTTAAAAGTGGGAGTCAGGAACAAAAATACCATCCTTTGTGGATGAAATTAAAATTGAATTTTAATTATACCCTCAAGCTCAAATTGCTGCAAGCAGTTTGTGCTGGTTATAAACCACTTTGTTTTATTTACTCATGCTGTTGAATATAGAGGTCTTGAAAGACCAGGGGATAAAAATAATAAGTCAGAGAACGAATCACTGTCTTCGTGTTTGGCACCAAATGTCTTAGCAGACTCTCAACATCACATGTGAAAATTAAAAGACCAGAGTATCAAAAGGGCTAAGTTTGATAATCCATTTGTTCAGTGTACTATACAGTGTGCTATACACTCTAATTTAGCTTCAACACAATGATCATTCCTGTCTCTTAAATGCACTTCTCCCTGCGCTTCTGCTTTATATCTGCATCTACTGTTGAGATTAACCATGGGTAGCTTTTTTGTGAACTTACATCTTCCAACCATGGCTCTTGGGGCAACATACCTCCAAAATGCAGCATAGATTGCCAGCAAGGTCAGCAAAGCCATACAGGAAACTGCACAGCCGATCATGAGAGGGACTGACGGAGAACTGCCAGAATCCATGGCCTGTAAAAAGAGAAGATTGCTCTATTGCAAAGGAGACACCTGGTTGGAGGAACTCCATATTATATTATATATCGGGTGAGCCCAGTCCATGTATTCTTCAAGTGTTGGGAGGGAGAGGAGAGCAATGGAATGAGGAAGCACAGCTAAAGCAATCTAAGTTTGAACCAGTGTGAAGCATATGTGTGAATATGGCCCTAGGAAACCGCAGAAGGAAACCGCCAGAAGACTGTCTGATACTTAGGAATTCAATACCATCTGACCCATTTCATTTGTGGGCTTAAAGCACACAGCTCAAAACTAAGTCTTGGCTACAAGAAAAATGAAAAGAAGCAGCGCATGGTTTGGATAATATCTTTAAAATACAGTTTATGAGCATTAAATATGTATTAAAATATCCATTTAATAGCAGTTATGTTACAGGTTTTTAAAATTGCAGATTAATATGGAAATGCAGTGGAATCAATTTATAAGTAAACCAAGAGAGGGTCACAAATTGGATGCAGAAGATTTATTTATCCTTAGTAGAAACTACAGCAATTATTGCATGCCACATACAACTAATAAATATCTAATATTTATATTAGTGCTTTAGAATGTGTAACCACTCTGCATAATATTATCATAGCACAATTATAGCAGCAAGCATTGCCACAAAACTATGAGGATGATCACAATTCGGCCCAAATCACAGATCGGAAACAAGTGTAGCTAGATAATTCCCAGGGAAATGAGATTTGAATTAACAGATTATCCACATACTACTCTCGATTGCCAAGACCACACAATCATATCAGTTTCATTGTTTCCCTATTTCTTTTAACCCAGATTACAAAGATAACAGAATGGGAAAGTCTCAGTGTATGCATATAAAACAGCAGTGTGCATTCTTATTTATGAGGAATGGATAATCCCAATGAAATTCTATGTCCTTGCAATTTCACAGTGGACATAAATTAAACATAGCTTCTTCTGATCGTCTAAAATGTGCCCGGAACTGAATGGAGTGAAGAGACACCAAAAGTCATTCCAAGCTCTATCTGCACAGCTTGGTCCCATCAGAGAAAATTCAACCACCACCTTCAAACTGGATTTCCTAAGCTATTCCCACTCAGTTTCCTGAACTTCCTGCTGGTCTGCTGAGGGTCAGGATTAGGACTGTTTCGTCTCCCCACCTCCTTTAGTAGAACCTCAAATCTGAATTCTTTTTTTCTTCTAGGCAGGGCCCACCTCAAAGCATGGGACAGGGCTTACCCAGTCTGCTTCCAATGTGCCCTTCCTTAGCCTCATAGAAGCCCCTTAGCAGCCCCACTTACCAGGTCTTTGGGGAGCTGAGCAATCACGGCAAAGGTTGAGAGTTGTCTGCACTGACACTTGGTATGAGCAGAGAGGGTTTCCACCATCTGGCAGCTTTCGGTGTCCCAGTTCCCAGAGCCAGTCTCTCTGATTGATGGCCCAGGGCAAAGGAGAAAGGGGGAGAGAAAGGGAGAATATCAGCAATCAAACACGTGGCTCAGTGTCCACATCTCTCCTGCTAGGGGTCTGCTTTCCTTTGCAAGCGTCCTCCTAAAAATGTGTCAAGTTCTGCCAACTGTAGCAGGTGGGTAGCAAATGGCTGGCAGACCCTGGAGTCTAAATGGAGGCTGCCTCCTTAATCTCCTGACCCAGAGTTTGGGATGGACAGTCTTCCCTCCTGCTTCCTCACCCTCAGGCAGAGAGTTCAGCTAGCCTGTTCCTCCTTCTACTTCTGCCACAGCTACAGAATATCTCCTTGAGGGAGGAAGATTGGAAGGGGAGGGAAGTTGTGTTGCATTGCGGTTGAGATTGACTTAATGTGAAGAGGATGATGTAGAGGGTTGGGAGAGATTGGACTGAAGAGAATGGATTGAAAGATCATCAGCTGCTGTGTGCTTATAACCATGCAGGATCTTAATATTTGGGCTCTGAAGCTAAGTAGGGTTGGGTTTTGGTAGGTTTAGATGGGACACAACAATAAATCCTAGAGTTGAGGTTGGACTTATTGGAGAAAGATCCAGTAAGAATGCAATGGGAACCCCCTTCCATATTGGAATTGCCATGGAAGCTGTGTGGATGTGATGCCTCTAAGAACTGAGCTCAACTTAAAGGAAAGTTGACTTGAATGATAAGTAACCTGTTCAATACAGAGTCAGGTTTCTTAGTGGTATTAAGCTTGGTAAGTTCACTTGGTTCAAGTAGGTTAGTGTATTTCCAGGTAGTCCTCAACTTACTACAGTTCATTTAGTGACCATTCAAAGTTACAACGTCACTGAAAAAAGTGAATTAAGATAACTTTCCCATTTACTGTAGCATCCTCATGGTCACATGATCAAAATTCAGATGTTTGGCAACTGACTCATATTTATGATGGTTGCATTGCTCAGGGGTCTTGTGATCCCCTTTTGTAACCTTCTGACAAGTAAAGTCTATGAGAAAACCAGTTTCACTTAATAATCATGTTACTAATTCACCAACTGTAGTGATTCACTTAACAACCGTGGCAAGAAAAGTCATAAAATGGGGCAAAACTCAATAAATGTTTCACTTAGCAATGGAAATTTTGGGCTCAATTGTTGTCATAAGCTAAGGACTACCCATATTTTACTTTGGGGATTCTGTTTGAAGATGATCTTGACTTGATTGGATGCATTAATTGGAAGGTCATTTACACATAGACAAATGCTCTTTTTCTGAATCAGTTGGAAAATCCACATTGAATTTAATCATTTCCCACACTGATTTGGACATTTGAATTGAATCAAGGCCACTTTACACATTCCTACATCAATGTCCTTTCATGGAATGGGAAAAGACCAATAAAAACCTCCAGAGCCAAATGATTCCAGAACTTAACAAAACATACCATGACTCAAAACCAGGGATTTCTTTTTTAATAACCTGTAGTCTCTACTAATGTCTTTGATGAAATAATTATGAAAATCATGTTTTCCAAAGCAAATATGCATTCTTTTGAATAGTAGATGACACCATATCAGTTTTATTCTTTCTCCATTTATTTTAACCCAGCTATTCTCCAAATACACAAATGCACATAAGCTTATGAATATGGATACAAAATCACATATTCCTGTGAACCCCAAATTTTCAGTGGGATGTGGCTTTTGACTGAAAGAGTGCAGAGTTAAGAGACCGAGACTTAAGAGACATAAGAGACTGAGCATATGCTCATTTGAATCTAGATATAATCCAATTTTTAACATTTATGTGGGTAATGTGGGATTAGCTGAATGTTTTCACTCTCCCAAACTAGTGCATGCAGAATGAACTATAACAGGACTGTTGTATCTATTTGTTGACTCAAAGAAATAGAGGGGTGAAAACTGCATGTGTAAAGGTCTCTTCATCAATATTAGCTTGAAATGCATGTTGTACCACTCCTAAGAGCTCAGGTTGGAAATTGGGATAGAAAGGGAGACAATTTAGGGAACAAAGAAAAACAAATAAAAGATACTAGCAAGCTTAGACATTTACTCCTGAGATATTTAATTGTACATTAAAAGAAAAAAAACTACAAAGATACTTCAAAAATACTTCAAAAGGTTGAAGATTGAATATATCATTGCATTGTAAGCTGCCCAGAATCACTTTGGATAGTGAGATGGATGGCATAGACATTTAATAAATACACGGTTTTTTTTTAATCACCAAATGTTGATTTAGAAAAGAGAAAGAGGAAATGAGAAAGTGGTAGAAGCATCCTATAGAAAGCATGATGGACTGGCAGGAGCACCTACTGTAATTGCTATAGAGTGAGAAGAAAATACAAAGTTTTAGTGGACGTTTATCTATTCCCAGTTGAGAGTTTGTAGTCTCCATTTTTGATACTCCCATGAGGTACCATTCCAGCATTAACTGTACCCATCTCTGAAGATATCTGCAGACAAACAGATATGCTTATAGGGAGTGTGCCTGGGCATGGTTGGGTCATGGCATATGGAGTCATGGATACATCTTCCACCACCACCACCCCATTTTTGAAACTAGGACAATATATATATATATTTCTCATCAATTCATCTGATACTAACTTAATTGTCCAGGATTAAGCAGAATAAAATACAGTACAAAAGTTTGGCCAGACCACCAGTTAATTCCTTCAGCAGCCTTTGGACAAGTTCCTGCAGTTTTCTTAGCAAGCATTTTCAGAAGTGACTTGCCATTGTCTGCTTCCTGGGCTGAGAGAGAGTGACTGGCCCATGGTCAACCAGTTACAGTAGAAGTCAATGTCTCCCTGTTTCTCTAGTCCAGGCTTGTCCAACCCGCGGCCCATGGGCCGCATGCAGCCCAGGTCAGCTGGTAATACGGCCCAGTGCCCACCCCAACCTTTGTGCAAGAGGACGAGCCAGTGAGGAGGAGGAGGAGAGGCAGGCGCGAGGCGGGGCAAGGCGAGCGCCATGCCAAGCAGCAACAGAAAAGGCAGGCGCCGTCAGAGCCAAAATATCTGATGACCACCTTGAGCACTCACTGAGAATTGCAACAAGTTCCATCGAAGCAAATATGGATGCATTGGTGGCTGAGAAACAATGTCAAACATCTCACTAACTTCATCTCCAAATAAATTTAATATGTTAACTATGTTTTCTATGGTTTTTTTGGATGATCAGGTATCGTTACTGTTATTTTATTTTATGTGCGGCCCAAACCAAATTTTCATCTTCTAATGTGGCCCAGGGAAGGTGAAAGATTGGACAAGCCTGCTCTAGTCCAATGCTTTCACCACTACACCACACTGGCGCTCAGCAATCCGGGATACAATTTTTCTGGTTCTGGAGATTTAAGTACATTCCCAATAAAGGGATATCCCCATGGCCATGTTTCTATTCATCTGAACCTTCAGTTACATCCATTTATCCTTCACAATTTCTTGATGGAACATATGGACACTGTTTTCTCCTTTTTGCAGAAGAGTAACCAAAACAGGAGCTGAGTAGCTCCATTTTTCCCTTCTTACTTTTACATTTTGCCTCTGACACTGAGCAGCTAATATACTGGGTTTTTTCCCCCTCTTTTTCTTTCATTCTGAATTTATCTAAAGAAGCTCTTCCTGTTATTTTTAGCATCCTTTGTTAACCACATCCAACTCTGAGCTTTCACTTTCCTGACACCAGCTCTACAGTTCGAGGCTACTAATCTGCACTTTTTCTTTGTGTCCTGACCTTCTTTCAATTTCTTCTATACGTGGTTTTTTTTTTTTAACTTTTAGATTTTTACTGAGGTTTTCTGTGCGTAGCCACATTGGGTTTTGTGATTATTTACTTTTCATCTCTCATTGATCTTATTACAATTGGGAAGTTAATCCCGCTTTCTTTAGAAATTCCCACCCATCCTGCTTCTCTTGTTTTTAGGTCCAACATATCAAGGCTCAAAGATGCTTGAAAGCCAGTACTTTTGAAGTCCAAGATATGTGTTTGCGATCACACAGTTGTAGTTCCACTTAAAATCAAAAACTTTGACATAGAAGGTCATTTTTCTGCAACTTCCATATCCTCATCTAAGTCCTCCCGTATGATTAGCATTAAATCTAGGACAGCTGATAATCCTCTTGCATTCTCCTTTACCCCAGAAAGAGACAGTAGTCAGAAAGGACAGGACCATGCATGGCAAATGTTCCGTAATTGATGCCTCCCATTACAGGTGAAACTCAAAAAATATCGTGCAAAAGTTCATTTATTTCAGTAATGCAACTTAAAAGGTGAAACAAATATATGAGGTAGACTCATTACATGCAAAGCAAGGCAGTTCAAGCTGTGATGTGTCATAATTGAGATGATCATGGCTTACAGCTCATGAAAACCCCAAATCCACAATCTCAGAAAATTAGAATATTGTGAAAAGGTTCAATATTCTAGGCTCAAAGTGTCCCACTCAAATCAGCTAATTAAGCCATAACACCTGCAAAGGGTTCCTGAGCCTTTAAATGGTCTCTCAGTCTGGTTCAGTAGGAAGCACAATCATGGGAAAGACTGCTGACCTGACAGTTGTGCAGAAAACCATCATTGACACTCTCCATAAGTAGGGAAAGCCTCAAAAGGTAATTGAAAAAGAAGTTGGATGTTCCCAAAGTGCTGTATCAAAGCACATTAATAGAAAGTTACGTGGAAGGGAAAAGTTACACAAGCAGCAGGGATGACCACAGCCTGGAGAGGATGTCAGGAAAAGGCCATTCAAAAGTGTTGGGGACTTTCACAAGGACTGGACTGAGGCTGGAGTCAGTGCATCAAGAACCACCACACATAGACAGATCCTGGACATGGGCTTCAAATGTCGTATTCCTCTTGTCAAGCCACTCCTGAACAACAAACAACGTCAGAAGTGTCTTACCTGGGCTAAAGAAAAACAGACCTGGTCTGTTGCTCAGTGGTCCAAAGTCCTCTTTTCTGATGAGAGCAACTTTTGCATCTCAT